TTGTATGGACAAATTATTCAATTCTGAATTTAAGTTGTGGGATGTAAGATTTATAAAAGCTGGACTTCTGGCCAAGATGGAGGCGTAGGTAGGCACACTGTGCCTTCTCACACAACCAAAAGAAGGACAACAACAAATTTAAAAACAGAAAACAATCAGAACTGCCAAGAAATTGAACTGTATGGATGTCTGACAACCAAGGAGTTAAAGAAGAAACACCCAGACCAGCGGGAGGGGCAGAGACAGGCAGCTGGGAGGAGAGGACTCACCAAAAGGCAGTGGCTGGCAGACCGAGTGGTCCCACATTCACATGCAGACAAACCGGGAGGAGCAACTGCGGAGCAAGACAGACCATGCAACCCAGGGCTCCAAGTGGGGAAATAAAGCCTCAAATCCTCTGACTAAAGTCACCTGTGGGGTTGAGGCAGCAGTGCAAGAAACTCCCAGCCTCACAGCAGGGTCCATTAGAGACCTGCAGGGTCCTAGAACATATACAAACCTATCCACCTGGGAATCAGCACAAGAAGGGCCCCAGTTGCTTATGGGTAGTGGGGGAAGTGACTGAAAGATGGCAGAGAGCAAATGGCACTGTTCCCTCTCTGACTCCTCCCTCACACACAGCACCACAAGCAGCCACATGGGTTGCTCTGCCCTGGTGAATACATAAGGCCCCGCCCCTTACTACATAACAGGTGCATTGAGACAAAAAATGTGGCCCAAATGAAGGAACAGATCAGAGTTCCAGAAAAAATACAACTAAGTGATGAAGAGCTATCTAACCTATCACATGTGCAGTTCAAAACACTGGTCATCAGGATGCTCACAGGATTGGTTGAGTCTGGTTGAAAACTAGAGGGAACAGTGAAGGCTATGCAAAGTGAAATAAAGGAAAATGTACAGGGAACCAACAGTGACAGGAAGGAAACCAGGACTCAGATCAACAGTTTGGACCAGAAGGAAGAAAGAAACATTCAACCAGAACAGAACGACAAAACAAGAATTTAAAAAAATGAGGAAAGACTTAGGAACCTCCATGACATCTTTAAATGTTCTTATATTCAAATCATAGGGGTGCCAGAAGGAGAAGAGGAGGAGTAAGAAGTTGAAAACTTCTCTGAAAAAATAATAAAGGAGAACTTGCCCAATCTGGCAAAGGAAATAGACTTTAGGAAGTCCAGGAAGCTCAGAGAGTCCTAAAGAAGTTGGGCCCAAGGAGGAACACACCAAGGCACATTATAATTACATTAGCCAAGATAATAGATAAGGAAAGAATCTTAAAGGCAGCAAGAGAAAAGGAGTAAAAAGGAGCTCCCATTAGACTCTCAGCTGATTTCTCCAAAGAAACCTTGTAGGCAAGAAGGGGCTGGAAAGAAGTATTCCAAGTCATGAAAGGCAAGGACCTAAATCCAAGATTACTCTATCCATCAAAGCTATCATTTAGAATGGAAGGGCACATAAAGTGCCCCTCAGATGAGGTCAAGTTAAAGGAGTTCATCATCACCAAGTCCTTATTATATATAATGTTAAAGGGACTTATCTAAGAAAAAGAAGATCAAAACTATGCCCAGTAAAACAAACTCACAGCTATTAACAACTGAATCTAAACAAACAAAACAAAAACAAACACAAACTAAGCAAACAACTAGAACAGGAACAGAATCACAGAAATGGAGATCACATGGAGGGTTATCAGTGGGGGAGTGGGAGGAGGAGAGAGGGGAAAAGGTACAGAGAGTGAGTAGCATAAATGGTAGGTAGAAAATAGACAGGGGGAGGTTAAGAATGGTATAGGAAATGTAGAAGCCAAAGAACTTATATGTAAGATCCATGGACATGAACTAAAGGGGGGGGGGGGAATGTGGGTGGGAGGGGTGTGTAAGGCAGAGGGGAATAAAGAGGGGGAAATGGGACCACTGTAATAGTATAATCAATAAAATATATTTTATAAAAAGATCTATTAGAGCTGGTGAAGAGCAAGGGCATAGCAAATGATATGATAAAATTGTAATGTTTATGGTATCTAAATATGAAAAATAAAAAGTAGGAAATCAAAATACACTGATAGTTAAAGTAGAAATTATTGACATGGATTTCAAAATAACTTACTGGTTTTTAATAAATAAAAATCAGTAGTATGACTTCTGGCATGTTCGGAGCTTAGGAGTCTTCCCTCTGGCCTAAAACAATGAAAAGCTTAATGAACTGACCTTAGATCCATGACAGACATGAGGTCACAGGACAAACTGCTGCCCCCAAAGCAGAGAGGCAGACACAGAGAATCGGGACATGCTGGAGTGGAAAGCACCTCCAGGGGCCTTGGTGGGCACCAGTGCAGAGGGCAGTGTTTGGAGAGGTGAAGACTCCAGGGAGGCTGTCCTGCTTCTGTGAGTCTTACCTCTAGGACCTCTAGGGTCCTCACATGAATATCAGAGAAAACCCCTTAATGCTCTGGTGAGGGAAGGGGGAAAAGGAACCGCTTTGAAATGTCCCAGAGCCTTCTCTTCTCCTTAACGAGGCTGCCCTGGGGAGAACTTAACCTGGTGGGGTTATAGCAGAGCCTAATTTCTCTGGGTGAAGGGCCACACCAAACTGCAGCCCCTTCGAGCCAACTAAGGGAGGAGCCTTCTAGAATCATTGGTGAGGTTCACGTTCCACAGGCAAAGGCTCACCGAAGGTCAGAGAACTAAGCAGAGGACGAAGATCATGTGCCCTCTTCCCATGCCTCACCACCACCCGGTACATGTTCCCCTTTCAACACAAAGTCACAAGGCACAAAGTCACTAAAAGGCACATGCCACAGTTTAAAGAGATGAGGCAAGCCTCAGAACCACAGTGACATATGGCAGGAATGTTGGAATTATGCATTAAGAACTAGGATTAACAGACAATATGCAAGAACAGATGGATGATATAAGCAGAGAGATGGAAATTCTAAGAAAGAATAAAAGAAAAAAAATGAACGACCAGAAACACTGTAACAGAAATGAAGAATGCCTTTAGTGAGGTGGTTCCTAGTCTGGGCCTGGCCGAGGAAAGGCTCTCTGAGCCTGAGAAAGTGACAACAGAAAAACTTCCAAAACAAAGAAAAGGAAAAAAAGAGAAAAACAAAATAACAGAACATCCGAGAACTGTGGTACATCTACAAATGTATAGCACACACATAATAGAAATAACAGAAGAAGAAGAAAAGACAAAAAAACAGAAGCAATAATTGAAACAACAATGATTAGAATTTCCCCCCAACAATGTCAGACACCAAACAACCAATCCGGGAAGCTCAGAGAACACCAAGCCGGGTAAACACCAAAGAAACCCCACCTAGGCAAATTATATTTAAACTGCAGAAAATCAAAGATGAGGAGAAACTCTTGACAGAAGCCAAAGGAAATAAACACTCTACATATAGAATAGAAAGGATAAGAATTACATTTGACTTCTCAGAAACCACGTAAACAAGAAGAGAGTGGAATGAAATATTTGAAGTGTTGAGAGAAATAAAACACCAACCAAGGACTATTTGTATCCTGCTAAATTATCCCTAGAAAGTGAAGGGGAAATGCAGGCTTTCTCACACAAACAAAAAATTCAACAAATTCTTGCCAGTAGACCTGTCTTTCAAGAAATGTTGTAAGTTCTCCAGAGTGAGGAAAAAGATACAGGCCAGAAACTCAGATCCACATAAACAAAGGAAGAGTATCAGAGAATTAATAAGTGATGGTAAAATTAAAATTTTTGTTCTTGATCTTAACTGATGTAACAAATAACAGTTTCTTTCCAAATTAAAATAACAGTATGTTGAGTATGTATGCTTATGTGTACACACACACACCCAGACACACACACATATGTATATATATATGTGTGTATATATATATATACATATATATATGTATATATATGCTCTGTATGCTTATGTATAACTGAACTGAATGGCAGCAATGGTGCAGGAATGGGAAGGAGGAATTAGGGATGTTTGTCATTATAAGTTACTGACAATACTTGAGATGGGGGATACTGTCATTCGAAAATAGACTTGGATTAGTTGCAAGTGTATATAGCAAATTCTAGGACAACCACTAAAATATTTTTAAATGGGGTATCATTGAGATGCTAAAGAAAAAATGAAACATGTAAAGTGCTCCATTGAAACCACAAAAGGAAGAAAAAGTGGGGAAGGCGAGAACAGGAATGAAGACCAGGGCACCGAAGTGAAATAGTAAAAACATGGTAGATGTGTAATCTAAGTATATCAGTAATGACCCTGAAAGCCAATGGTGTAAATGCACCCTATGAAGACAGAAATTGTCAGAGTGAATCAAAAAACAAGACTCAACTATATCTTATTTACAAGAAACACATGAAATACAAAGACATATAGGGAAGAGTGGAGGGATTAAACTAAAATAAAACCAAGCAAAACAAAAAGACCCTCAGATAATAGTGTGGTGATTATAGAAGAGGGTGAAGGGGGGTAAATGATGATGGAAGGAGACTGGACTTGGGGTGGCAAACACACAATACAGTGTGCAGGTGATGTGTTATACAATTATATATCTAAAACCAATATAATTTTGTTAACCACAGCCACTCCAATAAATTCAATAAAAAATAAAAAATGTTTGCCCCCCCCTAAAAAAAAGTTAAGAGATGGAGAGAGATACACCATGCAAACACTAGTCAAAGAACAGGGGTGTGGTTCTGTTCGTCTCAGACAGAACGGACTCAGAGCAAGGGGAGCTCTCAGCGTGAACTACATCTCCCGGGTTCACCGTCCCTTGCTTCCCTAATTTAAATTGCCTGCCCGTATGTCTATAGACATTTCCAGATTTAAACTCCCATTCTTTGAAGTGTACCTAAGTATACCTTGAGATTAATGATAGTAATAGGATAATTTTTTAGGACATAAAGATGAGAATTGAAGATGACAGATGTAAAACAATGAAGAGGGAGTTCATCGCGTGACGTAAATGGCTGATGTTCCTCCCCCTTTGTTTCCCAAGGTAAACATGTCCCGGGTGAGGCAGGTGGGGCTGCTGGCCGCGGGGTGTCAGCCCTGGAACAAGGACGTGTGCGCTGCCAGCGGGGACAGGTTTGCCTACTGCGCGACCCTGGCCATCTATATTTATCAGGTAATTTCATTGCACTGGGGATCGTGCATGTTTAATTAATAATTATTTTTAAATCCTTGTCACATGGAAAGTTTAATGCTGTAGTTTTATTGATACCTATTTTATATTTTACTATTTATGTTACTATATTAGTTTTACAAGTCAAGCTTTTAGAGAATGCTTGTGTCATAGGAATAAATTATTAGCCAAATCTTAATTGTTTTCTTAATACTTTATGTGCTGTTTCATCAAAAAGATTTTCTTCAAGAATTAAAAGATCCCATTTATGAATGATGAGCAAGTAGTATTTAATTCTTCTGAACCGTGTTCCCATATAAATAAATGGAATTCATTTGTTCATTGATTTCACATGGTGTTCAGTAACTACATTTGATATGAGAAAGTTGTCTGTCATGAGGAATGTGGGCAGTCTTAGAGATCACTATATTAAAAATAGCGCATGTATAGTAGATGCTGAGAAATTCTTGAGATAAAGGCCGTTATAACTACTTTTTTCCCCTGTCTTAGCTCTGTCCCGTCTGTTACGTTCTCCCAATCTATGGAGCCAATGGCCTTCTAAAATTCCCCACCTAGAGGTGCCATTCACGTCTTAAATCCAAGTCTAGTCTTCCCCTTATTCCCCCGGGCAGTAATTCTGTGTCACCAGCGAACCAACCATCTAAACCACAGATCTGAGGGTCACCTTTGATTCCTCTCCACTCACATCCTACACCCAGGTAACCAAGAGTGACTCTAATATTTCGCATCTTTTCTTATCTTCCTTATATCCTTCTTACCTCAACTATTACAATGTCTCTTAATGTTCTCTTTGCCTCTACTTTGACTCCCTCTAAACTATACCTGAACCTAATCGAACATCTGTAATGCAAATCTAAAATTTCAAATTCTCAGTTGCTCCTGCTTCCCTAATACTAGCACCCCAATTTCACAGAACGACATTCTTTTGCAATCACCCCGTCGCTGGCTCCCTCTCACCTTGAGCTCCAGACATACCAAGATAACTGCATTTCCCCAGACGTCTCAGACTCTTTTGTAGCTTGCCTTTGCTTACAGTAGTTTTGCTGTTTGCCCACACTGCCCGTCAGGAGAGTGTTTTCAGATCTCAGCTCAAGCATCAGAGCCTCTTCCCATTGAATTGGTATGTTTAATCTCAATTCTCTTCCATTTTTTCAGAAAGTTTTTTTCCCAGTCAATTGAATATTATGCCTGAAAGTAGACCAAGGCTTGAAATATATTCACATTTTGTTACAGGTATGCTCATTTCCATGCAGGAAACTTCTAAAAAGCTGATTGATGGTGAATGTGGGGTCTAAGAAGAAGCACTGAAGTGTTTTACTTATGTTTCTTTTTTAGCTGGATCATCGTTATAATGAATTTAAACTTCACTCAATTATGTCTGAACACAAAAAAACCATCACGGCCATCTCGTGGTGCCCACATCACCCTGACCTGTTTGCCAGTGCCAGCGCTGATAATTTAGTGATCGTTTGGAATGTCGCAGATCAAAAAGTCATTGCCAAACTCAACAATACAAAAGGTACATTTGTAACTGGGGTTTATGTTATTGAATGAAATGTTTTTTATTTCAATAAACAAAATACTTTATTTCAATGAGCTCAGGTTTTAAAGTAGTCAGACTCCCTAGGAGTAATCTATGTAAAAAATACAGTTCCCACCATAACTCACTGTGTGTGTACATGAGCAAAAATCAAACAAAATGTCATATTATTCGTAGTTCACTGATCAGTTAACAACATAGTAAATACTAAATAGTTTTGTTAGTGTTTAAATATAACACAAAAAGTTTAAGAATACAGGGTGGGGCAAAAGTAGGCTTATAGTTGTTCAGATTGAAAAATAGTACAATAATTAATAAATAATAATACAAAAATAAACTGTTTCTAGTACTCACAACTGTAAACCTACTTTTGTCTCACCCTGTAAAAATAAAAATAATAATTAGATAAGATTTTCTTTAAAAAATTTTTTATTGACTTGAGAGAGACAGACCGAAGGACAGTGCTTTGTGGTTATAATTATTTATGAATTCATTGGTTGTTTCTTGTATGTGCCCTGACCGGGGTTTGAACCCATAACCGTTATATAAGATTTGCTTAATGAGACTATTGTCCTTGCCTATTTATCACTCTATTCCAATATGAAACATGCAAGGTCAGTATGGTATGTAGCTTTAGTGTCCTGCTGAACTGGTTTCTCTCCTTTACCTTTAATTAGGTCCAAGTGGAAAGGTCTAGTTCACACAGTGTGTCTCAGTGGGTTGGATAATTATCTCTACATTCCTTCTACCTAGAATCATGCCCTGTAATAATGATGACGTTCAGCAATCATTATTCTGCATTAAATAGCACAATAATCTTATCTCTTTTTGAGCACTTTGTGTAGCTCAACTATTGGTTATGGTTTTGAAAGCTACTGCTGGGTATCTTTCCCATATTCAGCTTCTTGCTGAATCAAAGATACTGATTATAACTTTGAGGTAGAAAATTAAGAATCGATAATCTCACTATTTAAAAAAATTACGTAGTATTCTTTCCAGTGTGTAGTAACAATGTTGACAATCCATAGGCAATGCTATTTAAATCTTGCTTCCAAAATAATAATCATACATTTTGGAACCTTTGGATATGTTCAATATATTTAGTTTATTGCTCTTTTCTTGTCTTTTCAAATTTAGGTCATTAGGTATTTTGAAATCACTGGGAAAATATACCAATTTTGTTATGTGAGTTTTATCTTAAAAATATTTCCCAAACAAGGTTAATTTTTAACAGGAAAAATATAAACCTTATTCCCAGTTTCATATATGCTACTTATTTTTACCTGCAGCAACCAGTGAACTTCAGTGTTAGTAATTGACTATAATCGGTGAGCAAAATATTTTTAAAATTCAACTATTTATTCAGTGAGCTTCCATTACTGTAACAGTTTTCCTTAAGGTTTTCAATACATCAATAAGAAAAAGCCAAATTACTTTCGGTATAAGTTGATGTATACGAGCAACTGATAAGCCTCAGGTTTTTCTGGTGCTACGTGTTTCCCCACCAACCACAAATCCTACAAGGTTTTCCAGTGTTCTTTATATTAACAAATAGTGTATTTTCCCAATCTTTTAAATCTAGCTTTGTGTGAAATTAATTTTAAGTAACACAATAAATACTCCTTAACATTCCTTCCCTATTTTGTATGACATAAACTAAGAATGTGGTGCAATGGAATCATTCTCCTAAAGCTGTCCTGCAAGTCTGCATTATACTGTAAGCGCGGAACGACACGTTATCTCCATGTTACGCTGCAGTACAGATTAGGCAGCACACTATTGCATCAGCACCTGGTTTATCCGCTGCTTCAGCATCCGATGCCACACGCATCACATCCATTCACCTGTGTGTGTACCATACGGAGCTTCCTGTGCCACTGACTATATGAATAAATAAGACTCTTCATTAACATGTGTAGGATGATTAAAAAATTTGGGTAATGAATTTAATCAGGCTCACCTATCTTTCCTTTCTCTGAAGTTTTCAGACTTATCAATAAGTCCCTCATGCTATTTCTAAATATCTCCTTAATTTGAAGATTGAAAACTTTGATGTTTTCTTTGCAAAAAGATATTGTGAACATTTTTGGTCATTTTCATTTTAAATAATCCCCTTGAAATATCTTAAACTTTGTTTATTTCTTTCTGGAATTCAGTAAGCAAAGTAGAAGTTTGCATATCAATCCATGTTGTATCAGTATCAGAACTTTCACATCAAGCAGTTGAACATGAAACTGTTGTTTTTTTACTTAGTCACTATTTCTTCCCAATAATCAAAAAATTAATTTGAAGGAAATGAGTATTACTTTGTTTAAATGTAAAAATATTAAAATTGTCGCCAACTTGAAAAATGTCCCAGTATCCTTATGGAAAACAAAACTGAATAATATCGCATAGTTGTATGTCCTGTTTATCTCTGAATCTTGCTCGGAGAATTAAGTGAGTTAATATTTACAGAGCCCTTAGAAGTGCTTACAGAACTACACCACGATAGTCATGCGTTCTATTGTAGCAATATGGTCCCTGCTTCCCCTTGCTGCCTTTCTTGAAATATGCGTTTGGAGAGCCAGCATCCTGGTGGCGTCTTCAAGTGTACTATGGTGGTGTTATGCGTAGAGTGTCTGATCCCTTATGGGGCAAATTCTACTTCTGTCTATAGACACAAAGTGATCCTACTGTCATAAACAGTTTAGACTCTGTGTCTTTGTTTATAGCATTCTCTGTCCCTGGGGAAATAGTGCTCATCTCATATGTTTAAACTCTACTGCTCCTTCAAAGTATAACTCAGACGCCATTTACCTCCCTGGACAGTGGCCCAGGGGTTCACCAACCCTTCCCCACGTGGATTCTTTTGGAGAACCTCGTTCAGACCACATGCCTGGGCCCTAGTTGGGTGTTACCCGACATGCACCTTCCATTCAATGATCTGATGCAGTCGACAGTGAACCTGTGCTGGAAGGGACACAGCCTCTGTCCTGGGGACATCGATTTACCAGAACACTTACTTCCTTTAGGAGCTATTTGGTTAAAATAACGATGGGGAGATTTACACTTCTGTATTTTGTCTCATGGTTTAAAAGAGACTTTTACATAAAATAATGTATTGCCTCTCTTAATTTTAGTTGTGTCTGTTTTACGAATAAGGAAACAGGTTTAGAAAGGTAAAGTGACTTGCCCAGTTCATCCCAGGGAAAGCTAAGATTTGAATCTAAACTCCCAGTAAGACATGGAGTATAGCATTAATTTTATTTTTATTAAATCCTTATAGTAGCATTTTACTTTGTACAATGCTACTATATCTCCCCATTTTTTAATATAAGACCATTTCAAGCAGGGTCTTGAATCCCTTGCTAACTTCTCTACCTGTAATGCTTAGAGCAGATTGTATACACAAAAACCCAGCAAGAATCAATTGCTTTAGGGAGCATACAGTTTTGGGGGGGAAAAATCTCTGCAAATTCCTTTGAGTACATGAAGCCCTATACAATCACATTAGTGCTGTTCCCTTCATCATGGAAATACCCTGCATATGTTCCTAGTGATCCTAGAGATAATTTTTAAAATCCAGTTTCCAAGGTAGACACACTGTGTGTCCTCGTACAAACAAAAGAAGGACAACAACAAATTTAAAAACAAAAAAACAGCCAAACTAACAGAAAATCGAACTATATGGAAGTCTGACAACCACAGAGTTAAAGAAGAAACACTCACCTGGACTGGGAGGAGGGGTGGGGATAGGCAGCCAGGTGGAGAGGACTCACGGCAAGGTGGTAGCTGGTAGACCAGGCAAAGTGCTGGCTGGTGGACCAGGCAGTCTCACATTCGTGTTTGGATAAACCAGGAAGAACAACTAGGGGGCAAGACAGACCATGCAACCCAGGGTTCCAGGCAGGGAAATAGAGTCTCAAACCTCTAACTGAAAACACCTGTGGGGGTTGAGGCGGCAGGAGAAACTCCCAGCCTCACAGGAGAGTTTGTTGAAGAGACCCACAAGGTCCTAGAACATACACAAGCCCACCCACCTGGGAATCAGCACCAGAAGGGCCCCATTTGCTTGTGGGTAGTGGGGGAAGTGACTGAAAGATGGTGGAAAGCTGAGCAAGCAGCACCGTTCGCTCTCTGACCCCTCCCCCACGTACAGCGTCACAATGAAACCACGTGGGTTGCCCTGCCCATGTGAATACATAGGCTCTCCTCCTTACTATGTAATAGGTGCACCAAGACAAAAAAAAATATGGCCCAAATGAAAGAAGATATCAAAGTTCCAGAAAAAAATACAACTAAGCGATGAAGAAATAGTGAACCTATCATATGCCATACAGTTCAAAACACTGGTAATCAGGATGCTCACAGGATTGGTTGAATATGGTCACAAAATAAAGGAAATAGTGAAGGCTATGCAAAGTGAAATAAAGGAAAAGGTACAGGGAACCAACAGTGATGGGAAGGAAACCAGGACTCAGATCAACAGTTTGGACCAGAAGGAAGAAAGAAACACTCAACCAAAACTTAATGAAGAAACAAGAATTCAAAAAAATGAGGACAGGCTTAGGAACCTGCAGGACATCTTTATATGTTTCAACATCCAAATCATAGGAGTCCAGAAGGAGAAGAGGAAGAAATTGAAAACTTCTCTGAAAAAATAATGAAAGATAACTTCCCTAACCTGGCAAAGGAAATAGACTTCTAGAAGTCCAGGAAGCTCAGAGAGTCCCAAAGAAGTTGGACCCAAGGAGAAATGCACCGAGGCACATCACAATTACATTAGCTAAGAATAAAGATAAGCAGAGAATCTTAAAGGCAGCCAGAGGAAAGGAGACAGTTACTTACAAAGGAGTTCCCACTGTACTCTCAGCTGATTTCTCAAAAGAAATCTTGTAGGTAAAAAGGGGCTGTAAAGAAGTATTCCAAGTCATGAAAGGCAAGGACCTATGTCCAAGATGACTCTATCCATCAAAGCTATTATTTAGAATGGAAGGGCAGATAAAGTGCTTCCCAGATACAGTCAAGTTAAAGGACCTTATTATCACCCAGCCCTTATTCTATGAAATGTGAAAGGGACTTATCTAAGAAAAAGAAGATCAAAACTATGCCCAGTAAAACAAACTCACAGCTATTAACAATAGAATCTAAACAAACAAACTAAGCAAACAACTAGAACAGGAACAGAATCACAGAAATGGAGATCACATGGAGGGTTATCAGTGGGGGAGTGGGAGTGGGAGGGGAGAGAAGGGAAAAGGTACAGAGAGTGAGTAGCATAGATGGTAGGTAGAAAATAGGGGGAGTTAAGAATAGTATAGGAAATGTAGAAGCCGAAGAACTTATATGTAAGATCCATGGACATGAACTAAAGGGGGGAATGGGGGTGGGAGGGGTGTGCAGGGCAAAGGGGAATAAAGGTGGGGAAATGGGACCACTGTAGTAGTATAATCAATAAAATATATTTAAAAAAATAAAATAAAATGCAATTCCCAAGTAAGAAGGTAGTATTTTTTAATAAGGAACATAATTTTTCTTTAGAAATTCATGGTGCAAATGTAATTTAATGGGGCAGCCTCCTGCCGCGTCTCTGTATCATGTCTCCATATTGCATCGGTTCCAGGGACGCCTGCCTGTCTGAGCTGGTGCTGGAACTCGGGCGATGCTGTGGCCTTCAGTTCCCGCAGGGGCCCAATGTTCGTCTGGGCCGTCTCAGGGCCCGAGAGCGGAGTCACCGTGCACAGGGAGGCACACAGCTTCCTGTCTGACATCTCCCTGTTCCGATGGCACACCCAGAAAAAGGGCAAGGTCGTATTTGGTCATATGGATGGGAGTCTATCGATTTTACAACCAGGTAAGAATGGAATTAGCCAGAGGTCAACTTGTATTTTTCTCTGCATGTGTAATTTATTATTTCCGCAGTGTAAAGCCAATGGTAACAGGATTTTAATTTTAAAATCATAGCCGTGCAGACATCATCCAGCATTGCACTGATTCCAAATAATCGTTTGAAGTAAATCTATTTAAAAGAGAATGTAATACATCTAACTCAGCTGTACAGTTTACTTTGATTTAACCCCAGTCATTTGTCCCATATTTTTACTTTTTTAAGTCAATTCTTTATTTCTGCACACTTACTAAGAAAATGGCCTGAATGAGTAAGGGTGTAGAGCTGGAATATGTGATGTCTTACCACCCAAAATATTTTCCCACTCGCGTGTCAAACACTACTCGGATGCCACAGACCCGAGCAAAGCCTTTGATCTGGGCCCAGAAAGGAAAAATAGCTCTTTTGTCCCATTAGTTCATTAATCTGGCTGAACAATAAGGGGTCTGAGAAATTAAACAGTTACTAAGACAGATACTAAGTGTTAGGACCCCAGCGTTTTGCGGGGGGGGGGGGGGGGACATGATTCAACCCACAAGAACAGACTTCTCCGTCTCCTTTACCGCACAGAGCTTTTAAGACTTCAGGTGCGAACCCTTAGGAAAGGCAGTGTCTGGCTGTGCATTTTCCTTTGGCGTACACCAGTGCTCATGGGCCACAGAGACAAGGCCACTCTTAGATTCTGACGAGACACCCTGTGTGTGTTGGGAGCTTTGGGGTGTTGCCATGATTACTGGCAATGTTAGGTTTTTTTACTTTCTCCGAGGAGCGCTCACCCCCACTTCATCAGTGACTGGCTGGCCCCACCGTGGTTCAGACTCTTTGTAACAAGGAAGAGTTTCTGTCCTCCGGGTCCTTGCCGGTAGCCATGACCTCAAGCTGTCTGCTGTCCACTTTTATCTCTTTTGGAAGAAGAAAAACTACACCCAGAGGACTGCCACCATTAGGCAGTTCACCCATAATGTTAAAGCAGTGACTTTTAAACCGTGAGCTTGTTAATATGTGTTTGTATTGGTATGAGTGTTGGGGCGGGGTAGGGAGGCCTGGTGGGTGACCCGGCTGGCTTTACACCTGCTGCTCCCGGTCAGTCTGAAAAGTGCCACTTTATTCTGTGTTGTGTGCTGGATCTCATGTGAAGAGAGGGTTCCAAGGCCACAGATGTTGAAAACTACTGCTTTAACTACTTCAGCTTAAATCCTTACATAAAGCCAGATCATCAGCAATTTTTTTTTAAACTTTGCCATAGAAAAATTTAAGTGAGTGGACTTTGTTATTACCCCTGGGGTGTGCACTTAACCAAATTTGCATCGTTTTGTCTTAGAAGTGTTGTCGGTGACACTGGCTCTATCTAACACTGTGTCCCCTTTTGAAAACACGTAGGAGGCGTGGGTTTCTGGTCCGGGTTGTGGGAAAAGGCATGCTGCTTCCAAACACTTGTTTTCCTTTGTCATTTTGTTTCCTTTTCCCCATTGTGCACCCTTTCCGGTTCCTTTCCTCCTCGCCCCTGCATCTCAGATTCAAAAGCTCAACAGCTCTTTGGGTTACACGGCACCCTCATTATTTTGCGTCTCAGCCCCTGTGTCTCCTTGCCCCATTTTTGTTTCACACACAGAAACTGTGCACCTCATCTTCTTGTGACTTATGTGCTTTCATCCTTACCTGACTGCACAAGGTGCCTGGCGTTTGAAAATGAAACAATATAAATGAGAGCAAAAGAAGTAACATATATATGTAAAAATATTATCAGTTGTTATTCTAATGACTGACTTTACATTTTATAGATTCATTTTCTGTCTTTCATCATAAAAATGTGGATACTGCGTAGAACAGAAAACAGTGGCTATAACTCGTTACCATTTTGGCTATAAGCATGGGGCTTTGAAGCAACGTGATTTCCATATTACAACGTTTGCATTGCAAATCTTACCATGTGTTCTGTTGCTGCTGTTATTTTTTACATGCTGGAATATTTTTAATAAATCGTAGATATGAACGGGCACATGCAAATGCCTAAAAATGACTTAAGAGGGAGCTAATGCAGCTGAAGTTAAACCATTTTTCTGCCTCTTTTTCCCTTGTAATGATCTGCTATATTAATCTTCATCACTGTTTGCTATATCAAATAGCAATTTAGAAGACGTTTGTTTTGGGAAAGAAGAAGCAAACTCACTTTCCATGATGGTCATTGTGAAAATGTGACAAATCCAAAGAAAAGAAACCTCTCATGCGCTTTCTGTGATTCATATACACGCATTCTAAACAAAATACTACTGATTTAAAGTCAACAGTACATTTCAGTATTATATTCTGATGAATTCAATGTCAAGGCAGAAAGCTATAAGGTTTTCAATTCACTTCGCAATATTTTATAGCCTCAAGGAAATCCGTTCTGTCCAGTGTTACACTCCGACAGGGCGAAAACAGCGGGTACGGATGTGGTTGCAGGCAGAGCTGTGGCGTCCTTCGCTGGTGTTACTTTGTTAAGGAAACACTTCTTTTACAGTTCACAGTGCGCTTCGCAGAAATCGATCCTGTCTGTTAAGTGGCTGTTCCACTGCCTTTGTTTTGAGAATGAGAGGACCTGCTCAGTGGAGCCCCCTGTGGCGCATGGGCAGAAGCACTCCCCCCCCCCCACTTTGCTGGCTGTGTGTTCCACTGGGAAGGAGCAGAGACTGTTTGAGGGCACTGTGCTTCATTTAATCCCCCTGGTTCCATCTCCCTGTTTTGCTGGCTGCCTCCTTCACATTGGTCGTCAGCAGTGAATCCTGATCATGACAAATGGCGTGAGGAGTGAGAAAGGAGTGGAAGTAGATCTCCCTATGCTGTTTGTAACAGGCCTCACTCTTATAAGCTCTTTAAGCCACAAACACTTAATCCTTTTAAAAATTCCACATGGTAAGTATTGTTATGTTCTCCGTGGTGAAAATAAAAGCCGCCCACACAGAGGTTAAGCCTCTTGTCCAGGAACACAAAGCTAGGCAGTGGTGGAACTCGGGGGGGCTGGACCCCGGCTGTCCTTACACACACTGTGCTTTTCATCGGAACACGATCTTCTCACTCTGCCTAAGCCTTTTCCTTACGCGGTTGCAACTCGCTGACATTGTAGCTGATGGCAAAATCAGGTGCACCATTTACGTGTCTTTTTCTTACAGCTTTTCAGTAACAAATAGGACAAACTTTGCAGACACTAGGGACTGCCAAAGCAAAGCAGCGCAGCCACGCTCTAATTGGTGGCGGTCACAGGTCAAGTGTCAGTTCTGCGGGAAGTGCCAGCGTTCTATTCCCAGGACTCCCAGAGTTCAGCGACCTGCCAGGAGAAAATTCGTCGCGTCTCAATTATTGATCTTTTTTTGAAAAGGTTGTTTACAATCCTTGTTCTTCATGTGTCAATAAAAGGCAATAAAAGCCAGAAACATGTGCTGAGGCCCGAGTCCCTCGAGAGCCCGGATGAAGAGGACCCAGTCACGGCCCTGGAATGGGACCCGCTGTCTGCCGACTACCTCCTGGTGGCGCATGCGCACTACGGGATCCGGCTGGTGGACTCGGAATCGCTTTATTGCATCACCACGTTCAGCTGTCCCAGCTCAGCGGCCTCGGTGCACTGCTTGGCCTGGGTCCCCAGTGCCCCCGGAATGTTTGTAACCGGAGGTACGTGACCCCTCCCCCAGTGCGTTAAATGTGTGTGTTGTTTACTTCAGTCGGGAAAATGACACTCTTCTATTTGTTGATTTTGTGTAAGACTTATTAACAGTATAAATGGTGTTATAGTAAATGCCTGCTTGACTTTTATTTATACTGTGTATTTTCAACATGACAACAAATAAAAATGAAATTAAGGCCCCGCTGTCCAGGTTTCTGGTCATAAATTGGAATGTATATGAGCAACAGGTGTACATGTTTGTGTTTGTGTGTGTACAGAGGACAGAGACAGTTTAATCTCAGGGTGGCAGGCTGAGAGGGAGAGGACTGACTAGAAAAACAGTTTAGTGCATAGGACCCTATCAGCCTTTCTGGAGATTCTGAGTCCAGCGACCAGTAAGGCCTAGGCAGACCCGGAATGTATTGCCATGGGTTGAACGGATACGCCTTCATGGTTTCCTAGTCAAGAGAGACTTAGCAAAGCCAGGAGATTATGTGGGATGGGAAGATGCAGGTATTTGAAATTGTGATTAGAAATTGAATGACTCTACTTTCACTATCTACCAAGGTTCAGAAAGACACATCTCAAGTGACAGTCCCATCAGCTACTGTATCCACACTTCCCCTATTTGCTCAGTGTAAAATAAAAGACAGCGTCTTTATCCTCTTAGCATTTTAAAAGAAATCCTCTGCAGCATTATTTTTGAAAGCTAGGATTCGGAACAGTCCACATGCCCATCAGTAGATGAGTGGTTAAACAAGCTGCGGTACATTTACACAATGGACTACTACTCAGCCATAAAAAAGGAAGTCCTACCTTTTGCAACAGCATGGATGCGCCTGGAGAAATAAGCCAGTCAGAGAAAGGCACATACTATGTGATTTCACTTTTATATGGAATCTAATGAACAAAATAAATAAACAACATAGAAACGGAGTCACAGAGAGAGAGAGAGAGCACAGGGACAGCTGCCAGAGGGAGTGGCTGGGGGCGGGTGGGAAAGGTCGGGGGTTGAGCAGTGCGCGTGGGCGGTTGCAGAGCAGCCGCAGAGATGCGATCGCAGCGTGAGGAGTGTAACCAGCATTGTCGAGACAACAGGTGTGGGGCCAGGTGGCTGCTCGGGGCAGCGGGGGACCAACCACTGTCTAGAAAGCATAGTTTTCTTGCCTCTTTGCTGTGTGTCAGAAACTGGTGCAGAATGGTATCGAATGTAAACCATGGTTGAAAAACAAAGGAATTGGAAAAAAATTGTTTTCTACTTGAAGCACTTACATTACACATGGAAATAGATTCTTACATATCTTAGTTCCCTTTAATTTCACATGATATAATTAGTGATAGACACAGGAATTTTTATATACTATTATTACCATTGCGAGATAAAATTCACATACCATAAAACTCACCGTTGTAAAGTGTACAGTTTAGTGGTGTCTGTAGTTACACAGTAGTATGACCTTTATTCCTAATTCCAGAACGTTCCATCTACACCCACTAGCCGCCTCTCTCTGTGACCCCTCTCCACAGCCCCCTGGGGAAACGCGTGCACATAAACTGCTAACCTACCTTCTGTCTCCGTGGATTTCAACGTTTTCTAGAAATGAAGTAACTCAGTATGTGGCATTGTAGTCTGGTCTCTTTGATTTAGCAATAGAGTTTTCGAGGTTCATCCCTGGCATTGGGTGTGTGAGTAATTTATTCCTATTTATGGGTGAATCATGTTTCATTGTGTGGATATGCCAGAATTTAATCATTTATCAGTTGACAGACATGTAGCTTTTTGCTGCTTTTTTGCTCTTATGAATAATGCTGGCAGGAACATTTGAATGCAGGCTTTTGTATGGACATGTTTCTAGTTTTGTTGGGGGTACCTGCAGGGGTACAGTTGCTGGGTCATTCTGTGACTCCGTGGTTAATCACTTGAGGGACTGCCCAGTAGTTTTCTAAGACCTTATTAAGGTAGACTTTTTGGAAGGGGGGGCTTTCTAACTGGCTTCAGGTTTACTAGGCTTCATTGTCAGCTGCAGTTTAGCAAGGGAGCAGCTTCTGACAAGGAAGGACCCTTTAAGGTTGGGGTGGGAGGTTCTCAGGGGTGGGCTCCTCCAGAGTGTGGGGTCACTGGGGTGCTTTTCTGTGACCTAGTTGTCACGATGATTTTTGTGAGTAAGGTGCCATGGAAGGCAGTTTCCCCAGAAAAGGATTCAGAATAGAAAAAAGAGTAAAAAACATGCCACACACATTAAGGTTGAACAACATTTTAGCTTTTTCTTTGATTGTGTTGTTGTGCAGTCTTACTGTTTGAAGAATGCCAGTGAGTAGTAGTCTTGCAAATCAGAAGTAATGAAACTTTTATGTCTGGACATTTTATATTTCAAATAAAAGTTTTTAACAGAATGCTTCTTTCCCTGACTAGATTCTCAAGTAGGTGTTTTACGCATTTGGAGTGTTTCGAGAACAACACCTATTGATACTTTTAAATTAAAGAAAACAGGATTTCACTGCTTACATATACTTAATTCTCCTCCAAGAAAAAAATGTGAGTGAAAGTGTCAACAAAATTTACTCTTTTAAAATATTGTATTTTACAGTAAAATATTGTGTTGTTCAAGTAAAATGACTGATGTAATGCTAGGAGCATAGCAAATGCCCATATGCTACCGAAAAGCAAATTTTAGAAAATAGCCTTGGATGGTATGTGTGCCGAAGGAACCCTGAAGCAACACCATTTCGGCTTCTCTCCGGCGCCTTAATCCTTCTAAATCCTGGAGACCGGATCAGGACTGGGAATTAATAGTCCAGAGGCTGATGGATTGTTTACACATCCCACAAGTTTTTTGTGGTTGTTTGTTTCTCTGTTTAGTTGCTATGAAGATTCACACCATGGGATGGCTAAAATAGCACAGATTCTCTCATATTTTTTATATTAGAAAAGTAACACATATTCATTAGGGAAAAAACATAAAATAGAAAGAAGTAGGTACCAACCTCACCATTTTTGAGTAATTCCTTTCAAGTAATCTATTGCTAGATGGCTAGTCTTTTTACTCCATTTCTTAACATAACAAAGTGTGGAATAAAAAAATTGTGTGAAAATGAAGATTTTAAATACAGACTTTCCAAGTTCTAAAAAAAAGAGTTGAATTACAGATAAAGAGATATATAAAGAGTTCAAAACCACTCATAATGTCAGTAAATTAAAAGATTAGAAAAACAAGTCACGGATCATATTAATTTTATCCAAATTGTCAGCAAACTTTCATTGAATCAAATGCCTCTTTTGTTACTAGTAGGTAGTTAATTTTAGTATGGACTTCCTGTCACTCTCAGATTCTGAGGGATATTATCCAAGTGAATGCAATAAGGAATACTGTATTATATTTTAATAGAAAGGGAATATACTAAAAAAAAGAGAATATCTGGGAAATATTCATCCATCTGCCAGTATGTAATTAATATAGATCTGATAATTTACAGTGGTATCATTATTTTGTATTATGTTTGCAAAAGAATATTCATGTTCTAAGGAAAAACTTGCAAGAAGACATGATATGAGATGAAGAATTTATAGAAAATAACTAAACACAGGACACTTACGTAACTGGAAGTTGGAGAAATGGAAGTATATAAACAGTTGAAGTAAACCTGAGGAAGAAGAAAGAAAAATTGAGGCAGAAATGTGTTTCAGACAATTAGGACTCTTACACTAACTCTATGATTCTCTCAGCTTCTGTTCTTATGATCATTAAGCCTCTAATACAGTAGAATAAAACCTTGCTGAAGACTCATATTTTTATTTGGTTTTGTTCTATGCTTTGTCTCTAGTACCTAAAATAGTGCCTGGTGCGTAGCAACTCTTTATCAAGTTTGGATAAATTGGAGTGAATCATATAATGTCAAAAGTACTTATTTTCATTGGATGACATTTAGTAGTGAGAGTTACAAGCTTTCAAAGAAAAAATTCCCATGCTTGTGTTTGTCTATGCAGATGGGGACATCAGCTAATAATATATTGAGATTTTGAAAGAAGATTCTAATTAAAAAATAACCATTCTGTGCTTCAATTTATGGCAAGATAAAAAAGCAAATATTCACAACATGTTTTGATTCCTCACTTACAAATTTTCATCCATTCCCCCCTGCATTTTTATACACCGCCATGCAAAATAATATCCAATGCTGTGTATATACAGGGCGAGGCAAAAGTAGGTTTACAGTTGTGAGTACACAAAACACAGAGTTTATTCTTGTATTAATCTTTATTAATTATTGTATTATTTTTCCATACAAATAACCGTAGAACTTTTTTGCCCCACTCTCTATTTTGGCAAAGCTGCCAAAGTGCCCCTGTGACAGAAAATGTGATTATTTCTGGGTAAGAGAAAACAAAGGGCTTTTCTTTCTTTATTAACTTGTAAATGTATTTATTTATTAATTTATAAATTAATTTAGGAATTATATATAGGTTATAATATATGTACATATGTATACATATACACATGTAAAATACGTATGTGTATAAATTATATATATAATGTATAAATTAGTTTGTGAATTAGGCCATGTGGTTTCATTCCAGCCTGTGGGGAGCTGTTGGCATATTTACCTGCTGACTTCTTTTCCGTTTTCAGTTTCGATCCAGCCTCCGACCAAAAATCACTACACTTCCTCCACCAGCGAGGCAGTGCCGCCCCCAGCGCTGACCCGGAGCCAGGCCTTCTCCCTCCCTCCCGGCCACGCCCTGTGCTGTTTCCTGGACGGGGGTGTTGGCCTGTACGACCTGGGAGCCAGGAAGTGGGACTTCCTTAGGGACATGGTATGTCCGGTGTCCCTCCTTTCATACCCAACACTTGCTTTGTGAGCTCACAGTGTTTACTTTTACTTATTTATTAATATCATTAACATACATTTTTGTAAACAGTCATGTGTTAGGACTGTATCCTGGCTGGCTAAAATGTTTTAGAATAATGTATAGAATGATGACAAAACCAGTAAAAATCATTCAGTTTTCCATATTGAACTCCTGGAAATGTGAATGCCTAGCTTGTCATGATCACTGTGCACGGTCGGTGGTGTCCCCACTTCTGTGTGGGCCTCCCAGCCCTTCAGACTGCACTGGAAAGTCACGTCACTGGACTGGACTTGGGAAGCAAAATGAGAAATGGGGTCCCCTCTTGGAAGGAAGAAAAGCCCACCTCTGTCAGGTGCTCCAGGCTCAGCTGTTCTCATTGGTAAATGAGCAAACTTGGACGAAGTCGTCACAAGATTGTGTCTATTTTTGAGTCATTACACTAACTCTATGATTCTCTCAGCTTCTGTTCTTATGATCATTAAGCCTCTAATACAGTAGAATAAAACCTTGCTGAAGACTCATATTTTTATTTGGTTTTGTTCTATGCTTTGTCTCTAGTACCTAAAATAGTGCCTGGTGCGTAGCAACTCTTTATCAAATTTGGATAAATGAATGCATGCATGCATGCAATTATATTGTGTTGTAATTAATATTTGTTAGTGATCATCCTTAATTTTCCCTCATTTAGAGTTTATAAAATTGCCTGCTTTTTTCCTTGAGGTTTGAATTCTACTAATTTTGACATTTAAGAAACTTTTAAATGTTAAATGTTCACTAGAAAAACTTAGAAAGGAGTCTAGAGCTATAATATCCCTTGTTTTAAAAAAAGAGGAAATAACCAATAATACTATTGTTTCAGGACTCATTTAATTTGTCTTCAAATAAAAATATTGAATATTAGCAAAAATATTTTAACAATGTGTAGCTTATTTTAAAATATTCCTTTTGTACATGTTTTCCCAGCATGGGAAACTTTTCCTGTATTTCAAATTACCACTTAACTTTAAAAAGAATCATAAAAGGAAAGGGAGAAAAAGAAGTATGTTATAATTTACATTAGTAAAGAGCTACACAATCTAGGTTGAGTGCAGTTTTTATTGAGTCTATGTCCTCATATTAAACTGTTCAATTTTAACTCTGTCGAACTTATAATTCAATAAAAACTCAAACATTCCTTTATTATACATTATTTCAGTGGCTCTTCTCCCTTTAAAAACGTCTGCCAGTCAGAAGAGACAGTGAGTTTTTTCCTTGTAAGTCCTGTCATGCCTAACACAGACCCACACTGGCAGTGACTAGAAATAACATCTCAGAAGAGACATCTGACTCTGATGTTCTATGCATAAAGCATCTCCGCAGATTCCAAATTACATGGGATAAGAAAAATTCTACTCATACACTTTCTAAAAGGTGTGCTTCCCCATGAATGTCTGCTTGATTAAGAGGAAGAAAAATGCTTCAAAATTGCCCCTTCATCCCAGCATTCCTCCTGATAAGAAGATGAGGAAGAAATGTTCACAATCTAGTTCTTGCTGTGTGTTTTTTTCAAATTTCGAAAATAGAATTTGAAAGCATAGCCATGAACTAGCACTGAAAAATGCACATCCAGGCAGTCCCTGTCCCAAGTGTGTTCTTAACCGTGGACTTGAGGACCAGACCAAGTCCAGCCCCCTGAACCTGTGGCTGAACCAACCTCTCCCACCTTTGCTAACTCTGGGATTAGAGAGGGGCCCATGCAGCTCTGTGCAGCTTCCTGTGGGTGGCGCTTCTGGTGTCACTGAGGGTCCAGGACTTGGAAGGCGCCTCTGTGCCTCTAAGGCAAGAGTTGGAATGGAGAGCCGCATCCCTGTGTTAATTCTCTCCCAGGTCCTAGCATGTTGTAGTTTCTGCTGCTTGGGGTGGGAGTTTCAGTTCCTGAGTTCCAGTTTGGGGAGTTGACCAATGGGACCTCTGGCTACTGGCATTAGATTCTTACCAGCTTCTCCCACAGTGCACAGTGATCCCTTTCCATTTCACAGGTGTAACTGTGTGCATCTATCGGCACATCCCACGTCTCAGTCTGTGGGATGTTTGGGACCCAAATCAGCAGGCAGTGGGAGCAAGTGGTGTCGGTTCCAAAGAGTAAACTTGCTAGAAGACTTTGGAACACAACTCATTAAAATCAAGGCCATGCCAATTCTTTCTGTTAAAATCATGACATTCTTTTGGAGTGTGTCATTGGTGTCAAACAAGGAATATTTTCGTGAAAGGACTTTTAGTTTCAGTATTATCTTGGTCTTTTATTATGCTACCAGAATGATGTAATAACTATTAATAGTTAATTACATTATAAATGTCTAGTATAGTATTCTGTATGTCATAAATAATGAGAAAATGTATGTGTTGAGTATAAGATGAAAGTTGGATTTTGAACATCTTTTTATTTAGTTGCTGATTTAAGGAACTGAGGTTGAATAAAATCTAGGTCTATGACAATTCATACACTGAGAACAGCACAGAGACCCTTCCACCACTGCAGTGGCTCAGGTGTTGTGGGTTCACTTGCCTTATATGTTTGCACTCATATTTGGAAGCCACAGTACATGGTTCAGCTTGATTATACATCATGGTTTGCATATTAATAATGTGGATTCCCCTCAGTTCTCATGACTTTTCCTGCTGCATTCCCAGGGCCACATTGAAACCATCTTTGACTGCAAATTCAAGCCTGCTGACCCCAGCCTCTTGGCCACCGCATCGTTTGATGGCACCATCAAAGTCTGGGACGTGAACACGCTGACGGCAGTGCACACATCCCCGGGGAACGAGGGCGTCATCTACTCCCTTTCATGGGCTCCAGGTGAGGAGGGTTCCGTTGACATCAGGGCCCCAATGAAACGACTTTCCTGACTTCTGTTTTCATTGGCATGATCCTCTTCCCATCCATGATCTTCTTCCCATCCATGCTGTCTTGTTCCAAAGGCTTGTAGAGGCAGGTTAGTAATGACATATTGTTTTGGTTCGGCTTTGGGGGATTTCGGAACAAACTTCCTTTATAGGCACGTTGATGTCTACTCCCTTTTATATGACGTAAGCACATGGCAAAGCCACCGTAAATCAGGAGGATGGCAGCTCACCTGATTTTAGCTGGGCTGTGACTTGAACCATATCACACACTTTACATGAACGTTTTCGTTAAAGTTTTCGTGTGCATCCAATATGTAAAAATTAAATATTTACTTTCTAAAAGTTAGAATACATATCTTTCCCTAGTCCAGCTGTTTTGTGAATATGAATGATTATACACCATCACAGTCCACTTGTAACCATGTGGGTAGTTCTATGTCAGTTCCGCCTTTGTGATATTGAAGAACTTTTACCCATAAGAGAGCCTTTCCTTTGGTCTCAGAAAGATGCTTCTGCCTTTTTGCTTTCCTTTGCAGAAAGGGGGTGTCCCGTGCCATCTCCCAAAATCTTATTTTCCTATAATAAATAATTGTCCATACCTAAATGGGTTTCACTTTTTAAGCATTAGAATGCTTTACTTCCTTGTCCCATGAGTAAAATATTAATGTAGAACCTACACATGACCCACACAACCAGGATACAGCTTGTCCCCCCTTATCTCATTGGACAGGGACGTCTGATCTTGAATTTATGGGCTCTCCAGGAGTTTAGATCTCTTCAGAGAATCTGGGGGCCTCTTGGAATTTCGGGAGTAATGTTCAGCGTAGCTGTGCCCGTGTCCGTGGACATCATAGTAATCAGATTCTCAGACAGGCCCACCATACAGAAAGGCTAAGAACCTGCTGCTTTTTTGTGTGTCTCCTCCAAGGTCTAGAAAAAGGCTTTACTTCCACTTTTCACAGACAGTCATTGTTCCTTTAAGCAGAACAAGCTCAGTGCCATTCTGGAAACACAGCTAATTGAAAAATTGGTCCTTCACTGATTAAGAAGTGAGGCACCAGAAGAGCTCAGCAGTTCTCCTCCTTCTCCCTGCTTCACCTCCGTCTCCAACTCGTTGAGTGTGTTGGCCAACATTTAGGAAAGAGTGTCCGAGGTCAGAAGGGTTGAGAAACCCTCGCAGGACTTTATGCAAAGCAGGCAGTGGTGGAATCCACATGGGAACAGGGGTCAGTTTGACCATGAAGCCTGCTCGCTCAGTCCTCGCTCTGTGGGTTCTCACAGCAGGGTCCCCCCACTGGGGATGGAGGGATTGAACTGGCTGGTGCAGACTCAGCACCACCGCAGCCACTAGCCGACCCTTCCTTCTCCTCCAAAAATGCTTGCAAGTCTCAAACCCAAACCCCGAGTAGGAACTGTGTCTGTACAGATCACTGTTTCAGCGCGTTCTCAGAAGGCTTCCTCTTACGTGAAGCCTTACCCCACACTCTGCACTGAGCATTTGCCCCAAGGAAGCAAAACTCAGGGAAAGGAAAGTCTGCGATGTTTCTGAAATGTGATTACAAATGAATCTCTCTTTTTAGGTGAGTCTGGAGGAAACTGGAGAAATTAACAAAGGTCGGCATGGAGGGAAGTAGAATAGGGTAGAGGTGGTTGCATGATTTCCTCTCTATTTAGAATAGATTCCATAGGAAAAGAAAAACAGTGTGAATAAAATGGAAACTTGTCCTTAGTCATTCTGGACCCAAAAGGGGAGCAGAATAAAAATCCTGGAAATATGGCGAGGGCCTTTTAGTGTCTGTAATCTTTTATCACAGTAATTCCCCACTGGGCTGGCCCCCAGGTAGCAGACCATGCCTCCCCCTGTAACAGGAGAAAAAAACCCTGCTGCCATGTTCTTGCAGGGGCTGCTGGGGCCCTGGACCAGCCGTCAGCTTAGTGGCTGTTTCACTGCTACAGATTGTCTTATTTCTTAGAAGCAAAGCATGTTTGATGTTTTTATTAGAGAAACTGATTTTGTTTGTGGGCATTGCTCACATAAATGCTTTTCCAACCATGAAAAAAAATTAAGATGGTCAAAAAAGGAAAGGCTAACTGGATATGTGATAATATTGAGGAATTTTTGACCCTTTGTCATTGTGTGGGGTTGGTTATGCTAATAAAAGTGTCCCTGTCTTTTAGACATCCATGCTGAAGTGTTTTTGATGAAATGGTGCAATGTCAGAGGTTTATAGCTGAGAAACTCAGCAGGGCCTATAGACTGAGCCAGGCTGACCTTACTTTGACCATTGTTGAAGGTCATATATTCATCCTGTTCTTTGTGTTTGCATGAGTTTGATGATTTCCATATTAAAACATTTAAAGAACTGCTTTGCAAACCACAGGTCTTACCATTTGGAAAGCGTATTTGTGGTAGACGTTTCTTCATGTAATGCCTAACAAATTGTTTCCTAAGGTGATCTGGACTGTATTGCTGGAGCGACTTCCCAAAATGGTGCTTTTATCTGGGATGTTAAAAAGGGCAAAATGGTGCAGCGCTTCAATGAGGTAAGATGTTGTCTATTGGTAGCCAAACAACCTAATGTCTTATACTGCTCCCTGTTTTATCAATGCGTTAGTCTCTTAATTTCATAGTTATCACCAGATGGCATGATGTTCTCTGAATGAGAAGAAAACTGAGGAACATTTACATGCCAGAGTGAACTCTGAAGAATGTAGATGAACCTAAGATATAGAAATCCACCAAAGTTGCATTACAGAGTCAGCAACTTTGAGTAGGGGCTGTAGGCAAATATACAGTAATTGGAAGAAGACCAAACTCAGAACGAGTCCCAAATTATAGTCCCAATTCTCTGACTAATTAGCTGTTGACTTAGGAAGAATCATTTTATTGCTTGAACCTCTTCATAAGACAGTGGAGTTAGATTCTATTGTGTTGGTCAAAAAGGTTGTTTGGTTTTCTCCATGTGATGGCTCTAGTAGCACTTAGTTGTCTTTAACTTCATTCAAAACAATTTTGTTAGATTGTATTGCAACAGCTTTCATATCAGCGTGCATTTAAAAAAACTTATTAAAAATTGGTGATTTTTTTGTGTAGCCATTTAAATATTGGAGATGGAAGAAAATATGCAATATTTTCAGCCTACTGTGCTTTATTATTTCAAGAAAGGTAAAAGTGCAAAAAAAAAGACTTGTGCAATGTATGGAGAAGGTGCTGTGACTGATCAAATGTGTCAGAAGTGGTTTGTGAAGTTTCCTGCTGGAGGTTCCTCACTGGATGATGCTCCATGGTCAGGTGGACCAGTTGAAGTTGGTAGCCATCGAATCGAGACATGAATTGAGAACAATCAACATTATACCATGCAGGAGATAGCTGACATACTCAAAATATCCTAATCGATCAAGTTATTGGTGAAAATAAAAAATGTGTCCTTTAGTTTACAGAGAAAACCATACAGACTTTTCGGCCAACCCAGTATAATTTCCTACGTTTCCTTTCAGTTCTTAAATCCTTTCATCCTGTGACAAGCCCTGAAGCCTCCGCTCTTCCTCTCTGTAGTATCACAGAGGGTGCTTTCACCTCTGCTTGGAGTCAACTGTCAGCTGCAGTTTACGGAGCTCCATTAATATTGGGAAATTGTTGAGAATGTTAAGAGATGAATCAAGGGATGTACGACAGAATCTAGGGTTGTCTCTATTTTGAAATTTCATTCATTTCAAATGATGACTGTCAAAGTTTATTAAATATATGACTGATATGAAAATTGTTTATACATTTAATGCTTTAAAACGATTTATACAAAAAACAGTTGGGTACTCCTCTGAGGATCTGGTAGTCTTGCCCTTCTGGGGGACAGAGAAATGAGACAAATGCAGAGTACGGGCATCATCGAGCCCAGTAAAGCAGTATTGCTCTCAGAAAAGGAATCTCCCAGCAGCGACTGCCTGCTTACATCCCTCCCCTTCCTCTTCATGACAGCACTCTAGGTCCAGCCTACCCTCTCTGCCCTCCCAACCAGAACAATAAATCGTGAGAGAGGACATGAACCTGAAGAAGAAACTTGTGGCCTAAACCTAAGCAAGTTTATTCTTCAGTGTCAGATCTGTTGGCCTGTTCCCATGGCATCCATGGCCTTAAATATCTGCCCGTTTCCCAGTCTTGCTCCAGTGGCCTGGCATCTGGGCACCCGGCATCTCTAGTGCCCATCTCTGTCTTTCATAGTTAAGACCAGTATCAAAGTTGCTTATGTCTAGGAGAATAGATATGGGGAAGGTTAAGAATGCCAGCTTTAATGAACAGTTACATATTCCTCCCGAAGGACGTGCAGGATGGTAAAGAGCCCGAAGCGCACTCCACGTGGGATAACAAAGCTGGCGGGAGGCCTCCGCTCTAGCTGATGAGTGTAGGGACCACCTCCAGGTTCCTGTTCATCTTCATAAGCTTCCCCACCTTGACCTCCAAAGACAGAAAACAGCCAACTAGAGACTGCCTCAGACAAACAGCCTTAAAGCATGGGATAAGAAGGCACAGCCAGCATCATTGAAGTACTATATAAGACTGAAATGTTTTCAGTTAAATTTGGAAAGGGATGGACCTTTATTTACCCATGACCTAGCTGATGAATGAAATTCCCATCTGTATTTCTTGTCTTTGAAAAAGTTCTCATCACAGCAGGTGTGATTGGACCCTTTCGCCCTTCCACAGTCCGAGAATGCTGACAAGCAGATACATAGGGTTATTTGTTGTAGGAGTGGTCTTAAAACTGTTCTTCGAAATTGGGAAGGACAGTCAATAATAACAATTGCCTGCAGTTGCTCCTGCATCGCCATGGCAGCCAAGCTCACACTGGGTTAGGAAGCAGAGAGAATGTTCTCCAGTCTCCAGGCTGGTGTTGCCAGGGAAAGCCTCACGCAGGGTTTGACTCCACAAAAGCCTCGACAAATGGATTCTGGCTCTTGACTAGCATTCACAGAAAAAGAGCTAGAAGCCACTCAATTTATGTTTTATATTTTTTCTTTTACAAGTCATTTATTTAGCTTTTATATGTTTTTTTAAATTTTATTGTTGTTTTAAAGTGGCAATTTTAAGTGTGACAACTTTAACGTTGTTCAACTGTGTTATATTCAGCTTTCTGCTGTTGGCAATAATGCCTCTTTCAGCATCATCAAAAGCAAGTTCCTAGTAGAAAAGTAATACTTAGAAGAAGTAAATAAATAAGAGAAAAAAGGGGTGAATTATTTCTTATTGATAGGTATTTTGCCTTTTTTGAAGCATGGAAAAAATGGAATATTCTGCATTGCCTGGAGTCATAAAGATTCCAAAAGAATAGCAACCTGCAGTGAGGACGGCTTCTGGTAAGTGCTGAGGGTGGCATCTTACGGTTGGTAAAGGATGCGTGAGCCACACCAATCATATATGGGAGCACAGACTTTAAAATGTGGATGAGGTTCCATTTGTACAGCTGGCCAGCTACCACAAATAGTATTCATAAGCCCACTGAGGCGTGTCCTGTGTTGGTATGATACATTGGTAATAAATAACAAGGAAACGATATGCAAAAATAAACCAGTAACTGTTTGAATTATGCCTAATAGGCTATGAATTGCCTCAAAGAAACTTGAAGGGCTTTTCTGAAAGAGTCTAACTGATCCTCCTCAGATTTGTGAGGGGTCGGCATTTCAGTTTTAAAGTGGCTCAAGAGATACCGGGTCCTCTAGAAACTTCTTCACAGTTTTGTAGGTGCTATTATCTATAAAAGGATAAAAAGCCTTTGCAAAGAAGAATAAGGTAATTCATACGGGAAATGCCCTTTTTTTAGAAGCTAAGTTCTCAGACCCTGTGTTTCAGAAACATGCGCTTTCTCAGTTCTGTTAAGTTCTAGGGGAAAGTAGGTTTCCGAAACAATCCACGGAAGAAAAGAATTGCCCTTGGGTTAAATATGTCTGAAATCAGGTGCTGCCACCTGGGACAGGTGAGGTGCCCACTTGAGGCTGTACTTGCAGGGCTCTGCTGCCTTGATGAAGAGCCACAGTCAGCATCTGAAGGCTTAAAAGCAGGGGTCACCACCCTGCCCGGTCACCTCAGAGGTTCCGGTGGGCCTCGTGATGTGCCGGAGGGTCTCCCCTGAAAGTCTTTAAAACCCCGTAATACATTTGTTTTACACATTTACTTTTTTTCTTTTTAAAGGACTCAATAGCTCTTGTATTATGGTATCACACAGTAGGCTTTTAGATCTTCTTCTGTTTTGCAGTGAAGGTACACAGGATCCTTTTAGGGAGAAGGGATCCTTCGAATTTCTAGTTATGTTACTTAGAGTGTGCCAAGAAAACAATGCAACTTGCACGTCTTGGGCTTGGTATGATAGTGGCTGTAAATCAGCCTTATAAATGAGTTTTAAATACAGATTCTGAAGCTAAGTATCTAATACATGTTAATTATATAATTGTTTTAAAATAGATATATAAGCTATGCTTCTCCTAGATCAAAAAGTTTCTCTATGAAATAGTTTCTGAATCAAAGTCTATCATCTCTGAATTGATATAAATGGATTAACATAATTAATAATAGATGATGTAAGTATATATACTCATAATTGGTAATAACTTTGGCACAGGACTTTTTAATGTTCCTGGTGCTTTGCAGACAAGGATCTATCCTAAAATACTTAAGTTTCACTTACATGATTCTGATTTTGTTCTCATGAATGAAATCTTCAGAATATTTTCCCCTATTAATGTTTTACACCTAATTTCAGTATCATTCGAACAATTGACGGCAAAGTGCTCCACAAATACAAACACCCTGCAGCGGTATTTGGTTGTGATTGGAGCCAAAACAACAAGTAAGTATTTTTTTTCCTGAAATACATAGTCATTACATTTCTGAGATATTAAATAACTACGAAGCTTGATGGTATTCCCATAAATGATATGTATCACTGTTTTTAGACCATGTTCCCCTCACCCAGTCTTATAGTTGCTTATTTATTCCAGATGTCAATTTTATTTCATCAACTCATCACACGATTTAGAAATATCAGTTTCTTTTTTCCAAAACAACTTTCTGATGCTTTATGGTTAATGAATGAAAAATGGAAATCAGTACCATCTCTGTTGGTGTGGATTCTGCCATAAAAATGGGGGCCTTTCTGCCCCCCTTTTTAGGAATCTCTGTGGCAGTCTTGTTCTTCCCCAACTTCCCATCGCCCCACCCGATGCTCAGCGTCAGCACGTGGAACTGAGGTGGTTGGTTTTGAAAGGCCAACCTTGCCAAACAGCCTGATAATTTACTGTGGAAAAACCAGCCTAGATTTTAAAATTAGTCCCAGTCAAACCTCCACTACAATTGATCCTAAATTCATTGCATGTTCAAGAATCTTGTGTGTTCATACCTCTCTTTGACAGGGTATAAATTATACTCAAAAATTCAAACTTTCTTGAGATGTTAAAACAGTGTGAAGTATCTTATGATTTTCCACCTCACAGGTGGAAAATACACATATTGAAACATTAAAACTTCATGTGTGTTCTGAGTCCAATCCCATACTACACTAAATGATGGATCTAGGTATTTCTTCCAGTCAGTATGGAAGCAGTTACTACACATGATTAGAGTTTACACACATAATGAGCCCATGCCAGTGTCTCCCTGGTAGCGTACCTACCTCGTCATCTCTCAGTTTCCATTTCCGGTCACCCAGGAGTCACTGTCACCTGCTTCATCCAAATGCTCTTCTCTCCCGGCTGCCCCTTTGCCACTAAAACGATAATGTTTGTTTGATTTTAGTTTTGGGTTTTTGCATTTTAGAAATACTTTATGTTTACTTTTTAAAAATTCATTTACTTATGTAATCTGAACTTTTAATTTTTTTACCTTAATTTTCATTGTATTTTTTCCCATTACCATTTCCCACCCTTTCCTGTACCTTCTTCTGCCTCCGGGGGTCAGGGTTTGTAGTGACTAGTAGTGATTTGTAGTTTTACTTACCAGCAAGTAAACATATCTCAAACCCTCACCAACAGTTGCAAAATATAAAGTTGTGAGAACTACTCAAGAAGTTATAATTCTGAACATTTTTTAAAAGAACATATAGAAATTAAATGCCATTATTTCTGATCTAAGATGCATATCATAAAAATTCAACTGATTAACACTGAGAGAGGAACTTCTTTGGGTATTAGGGCAGTTTCTGCCAACTGTGTTTTTACTTAGGTAAGTTTTTAGTCCAACTTCATTAAGGAAGCAAACAAAAAAAATTCCAGTGTTAGAAGTGAGAACTGTGTACGTTTTTAAATCCTTGGTTACAAACACTCTCAAATGTCTCACACTTCCGTGTGCCACTGGTACTGTTTCAGAGACATGATCGCCACGGGCTGCGAAGACAAGGAAGTGCGCGTCTATTACGTGGCCACCAGCTCGGAGCAGCCGCTGAAGGTGTTCAGCGGGCACACGGCCAAGGTCTTCCACGTGCGGTGGTCTCCTCTCAGGGAGGGGGTTCTCTGCAGCGGTTCTGATGACAGGTGTGTATTTTGGGGTTCTCATTTTCTTTTCATTTTTGGAAATGTCCTCACTTATATGATCCGACTGATGCAGGGAATATTTCAAATATGTACTTGACATGTTGGTGGTTAACAAGTAGCTAATTGCATTCAACTGAAAGTAAATTGAATTTTGTCATGCTTATATTATCATTGTTGTCATGATATTCTATTTTCTTACTTATTTTACTTCCTATGGATGCTTATTTCTATCTTACTAATAACAAAGTTAATAGAAACAAAAATTTTAAAAGGATCTTTTGGGAAAAGTAGAAAGATTGGAAACAGATCTCTAAAATATAGAAAAGATAGAAATATATGTAAAATATAGAAATATATAAAACCTTTTTAACAATGTTTACATGTTATGGAAAAAACTAGACTCTTTTCATTAAGAAAGGAATAAAAGAAGGTAATTATATATTTTAGCATGAAGAGCAGATACTTTAGTAACAAGAGTGATTTAACATTTTGGTCACTGCTAAACATGAGATAAATTTAGGTAAGAAAAATCTCACTTTATACAAGGAGAAGTCATAGTACACAGTAACCACAGGTCGATTATTAAAAATTAAGCATTTTCATCTTGAAATTTTGAAAGAAACCCAAATTTAATAATAAAAATAATTGTGGGATTACTGTGGGTTATCACTTTAGTCTCTTAACATGGACTCCAAAGTCTCAATTCTATTCTACATGACAAAAGTACCATCTTCAATTACTGTCTCAGACACATTTTTCGGGAAGGCAGCAGTGAGCAATTTACTAACTAACGGTAAAGAAAGCTGAAGGCCTTGACTGAACTCTGGTGCCCGGTCCTTTAGCAGTCAAGCCGATGATGGTTGTACTTAGCATGTTCTCTGGCCTGTGTAAATAAGAGTCAGAATTGTAGGGAACTCATTCCTTGCCAGTGTACTTATTGCAGAGTGTACTTCACCCCAGAAGCCAGCTTCAGGTACTCCTTGTATGCAGTTGGCCAGCACTAGCTTTTCTGAGGCTTAATTAAAAAATACGCATTCGGACTTCCAAGCCTGATGTTTGCCCAATCGGACTTGGGTCATAAAAGAAAGGACACCTGTTCTGGTGCCGCCTAGGGTAACAAAGTATTTTGAAACAAGTCCCTTTAGTACTGTGTGTGAAGGTATGATATCCAACAAAAGAATTTAAGCATGTCTAAGAAATCAGCACCCCAAAATTGGTTTTGATATACCTGGATCCATTGTTCTGTACTAGGGTAAGGGGAAAAAAATCTTTTATATAAAGCGGAAAGAGATATGCATTCAAGGAATAAAAATATATAATATAATGTTTAATATAATCTCTGAGTTCATCAGATTTATATAAATCTGTGAGTAAAAATTTAGTATGGATTGTTCAAGCAGAGTTGGCATTTGGAGGTCTTAAGTTGATTTTGAGTTCAGATTTTATTCTAGTAACATTTGTACCTTGCAGAGTCAGTAGATTGAAGCAATGCCATGAATCCAGTTATATTTAAATTTTGTACTCAATCTGAGAGTGTCTCCACACTAGATAAGCAACTTACTCTACTGAAGGAATGGCTTACTGTGCTGATGTGATCATGAATATGAATTGATCTTTCAGCTAATAGCCCTTGTCATACATACTCTATTTCATGATACATAATTTGAGTTTTCTTCGATTGCCCCATCCACGTTATTAATCATCTTTTTCTTTGGCTTTATCTATTCTGGATATTTTATTTTAAGAAAGCAATTTTTAAACACATATGAACTGTGAAATAGTACATTTAGTTTCATTAGCAAATTAACCAGTAAAAGTCAGGAAAAAATATATCTGTACATTGGAATATGCTAGCCGTAGCCTAACGACTCATTTCTATCTGCTCTAAAGAGGAGAATCGTAACATCACTTGAAACATAGAATGCTTTCTTAATATACTGAGAAATAATTGTCATGTTCCAGTAAGAATATGTTAATATTTTATATCGGTTGCAACTTGAATGGCACTACTTCGACAACATTCTGTTTCAGTTCTGTCCGAATCTGGGATTATACTCAGGATGCCTGCATAAATGTTCTCAGTGGACACACCGGTCCTGTGAGGGCCCTAATGTGGAACCCCGAGCTCCCCTACCTGCTCGTGTCCGGCAGCTGGGACTACACCATGAAAGTATGGGACACTCGAGATGGGACTTGCTTGGACACCGTGTGTGACCACGGCGCTGATGTATATGGTAAAGCAGTTTTCATGTGCTTGCAAATGTTGCTCTGTTAATGACGATGATAACTTCTGAGCAAAGCGGTATTTTCCGGAGAAGTCATGAAAGGTTTTGTTTTTAAAAACATTTTTCTCATTAGAAACTATACCTGTCGTTACTGAACTATCAGAACATCCAGATAGCGATAAAAAACGTCATCACAAATTTGCAGAAGATAACTTTTATGAGCATCACAGTGTCTGTCTTTATCTGCAGGTACATTTTAGTTCCTACACACATGTACACACATGTACCCATGCACCTGTTTGCGTGTATGGCTTAGAGGTCTGTCCCTCCAGAGGTAAGCTGTGGAGAGGGATTCAGTCATGAAGCGGATGTAGCTCAGGCATTCTTCTGCCGCTGTGCCTCGGAGTTCAGAGAGCGGGGTTCTGTTTTCAGCACCGTCGCGCTGGGTGTGGGGAATCAGACTGTCTGTTGCACAGCACTCTACTGTCCTCTGTAGTCCCCAGCCCTTGGAAGCCATAAGGAGGTCGACAGAGATGCAAAAATAGCTGCCTTCTAGTTGAGGGAATGTAGGCCTGTGTGGGAGAGAACCCCATTTCTGGGTGTTTTCAGTGGAAAGGGCCCCGACTCTGGGAGCTGGCACGCCCGTCAGTTCACAGGTTCCTGTGCACGCCACTGGTGTTAATAGACTGAAACATAATTTCAGCATCTCCCTCCAGGGCCATTTGCTTTCTAACGATTGCTCAACTTGTATTCCTATTTTATGCTAACTAGTGGATTACATTCTTCCATCATTCTCAGCCAGGACAGAGGCATTTCTTCCAAACATCCATTCTGTACTAGTTTCACGAGGTGCCTGTAGATAGAAAACATTTTCAAGTCTTCCGTTAGTCAACGCAGGTTTGCGTCTCCCTCAGGTCTGGCATGCCACCCCGCCCGGCCCTTCACCGTGGCCTCCTGCTCCCGGGACTCGACGGTGCGGCTCTGGTCCCTGGCCCCACTGACCACTCCTTTGCAGATGAAGATTCTGGCCGACAGGTCTTGGAAAGAAATCGTCGGGAACACTGGTATTGCAAAGCTGCGTGGCTAAGCGTTTTATTTTTAAATGGTATTTTATAGCCATCTTTTCTCACCAAATTACATCTGTTCTCCAGATTATGCCTTACTGCAAGGTGCCCTGCCTGTCCTGTGTGGCAAAGTGTCCAGAGATATTAAACAAGAAATAGAGAAGCTCCCCGGCAATCCTCGAGTGGAAAAGCTGAGGAGGTTTTCAGAATGCTTATCAGTAAGTAGTGACAGGAGTTCAGTGTGGGCATTTGTCTTCTCCGAGGAATGAATCTTTGCAGCTGTTGTCAGAAGGTATATCACACATACTTAAATGCATCATTCTGGTTCACTGGGAGCCTCAGAACATACTTTGTACAGTGTGAGACAGCAAGTGGAAGCCAGAAACAATAAATGGGATAAGGCGTAGATTTATTGCATTAATTTTCTATTTCATTATGCCTGCATTAGCTTTTTGAAGATGCCCAGTGCCGTGCGGTTTCCCATTCATCATTACGGTGTTGCCTGTTCTGTATCCACTCGTTAGCCTCCAGGTGGCAGTGACAATCTGTGGAACCTGGTTGCTGTGATCAAAGGACAAGACGACAGCTTGCTTCCTCAGAACTACTGTAAAGGCATAATGCACCTGAAACACATGGTCAAATTTAGAACGGTAAGTGAAGTGTGCAAATGCATCATGCTCCAGCAAAAGTGGTTTTGCCCTTCCACTACTAAAACATAAAGGTTGTTTCAAAATTTATATGTTAGAGCTGGTAGACTGAAGTAAGTGAATATGGATAGTTAAATCTTCAGGCAAAAGCAAGCATGAGGCTGTGAATTATTTGAGGACAGGTGAAGGCAGGTGTAGTGTTCAGAGGCCGAGGCTCACCCAGTTCTTCAAAGGTCTCATGGAAGGATTCAAAATGCTAGTCATTTACCTGCAACCAGGTGATGGTGGCACATGGACCACCGTGGCTCTAGTCTCAGAGGCCGGACCGGCTGTATCCTGGGAGACATTCCATTAAAACCGACCATGTAACGTAGATCTTAGTGAGGTGGAGCGCAAAATGACTCGGTACCTCCTGCCTGCGGCAATACTCAGTGCTAACCACAGACCAGTCCTGGGACCGGAAGGAAGAGATACCTTTCGTATTTGCACTGCAGTCTCAGTGGTGAGCGCAACAGTTAGTGCACAGAGGGAGTCAGGCGGTGTGGGCGTGATGGCCACCAGGGCCAGTAATTTTCATTTTAATTAGAGGCCTTTCTGTACCCTTGTCACCAGCAATCTATCTATTTCACTCGCCTCTGGTCCTCTGGTCTTCTGCATGGCCACCACCCCTACTGAGTTTGCAGGGCCGGGCGAGCATGCACCAGGCTCACTCGAGCTCTGTGCCCCACCCACACCGATAATCTCTGTTTACAGAGGGGTCACATTTTACAGAGAGAAAGTATTGATTTTTAAAATATTTCATTCCCAGTGCCGCATGCTTTTAAAATATGTGTGCGTTGTTATCCGTATAATGCTTTCATGGTCCAGTGTTATCACCAGCTCTTTTCTAAGAAGAGTTAGAAAAATTCTGTTTGCTTTGTCACCAGTCGGAAGCCCAAGAACTGACCACAGTCAAGATGTCCAAATTTGGGGGCGGTATCGGTGCTCCGACTAAAGAGGAGAGACTAAGGGAAGCCGCTGAGATACACTTGAGACTAGGACAAATCCAGAGATACTGCGAACTGATGGTCGAACTTGGCGAGGTGAGGTGCTGCTCAAGTAAGATCAATGAGCTTCACGAAGTGTCCTGAGTGTGAGATCCTACATAGTGAGTGTGTCTTCTTTCAGAGCTAGTTCTGTCAGTTGCATGTCACGTGTGTGCCAGAGGACAGTAGTTATGCCCTGTCTGCACTACTGGGGAGGCTGTCCGACATTCCTTCCCCACCCCAGACTTACAGAACTGGAAACCCTGGGGATGGAGCCCAATATTCCAGGCTTCTGTAGCCCTTCAGGTTATTCTTTGAATGTTAAAGTCTGAGAACCACTGCCCTGGGCTGGAAGCTTTGATTCCTAAAACAACAGCTCTATTGGCTGATTTGCTCCTGGTGGGTCCCCCCTTGCAAGTGCTGTTGGTCATGTTAAACCCCACACTGGCCAGAAGAAGGGTTTCCACTAAGGATTCTCTGAGGACACGTCCTGATTTTTAGGGAGGACTGAACAAATTTTTAAATAACATTAGGATAAATCTATCCTATTAAAATTCAGCATGGCACTCACATTTGGAAGGGGGTTGGTAGCTACCATAGAACAAAGCAGGGGAGGGCTTCTGCTTGTTAATCTGAGGGCTGGCTACATGAGTGTAGTCAGTTTGTGAAAACTTACTGAGCTTTTCTTTTTTCTTTACGTGCATTTAGTTCAACAAAATTCTTCCACCGTCAGAAAAAGAAACCCAACATGATTAGAACAGCATGCACGTGTTTCATGCTTGATCATTTGAAAAGCTCAAAGGTAGTTCATTTCACAACGACAAAGCATGATATTAAGGATATTTATAAATAATGGAAAGTAAAACTAAGCAATCAAGCTACAATGAAATATATCAAAATTAAATTTAGTGTACCTTTTGATTTCTTCATACACAGGAGGTAATTATTGGTTGAACTAAAATAATGTGCCATTTAAAAATGTTATTGAAAGGCATTGCAAACTAAAAAGTATTTACTGTAAAAGTTTTACTTATGAAGAAGTAAACCTATGACTTAAAAGTTACTTTTTTAAACTAGGCACTACTAGAAAGAATAATATCTATCAAAAACCAAGGAGAAAATAAATAAATTTTGGTAGAATAGTAGAATGTATCCTTCTGAATCCTATATTTTGGTATATATAATTTTAAACTTGGGACTTCCAGCCAAGATGGAGGTATAGTTAGACACCCTGTGCCTCCTTGCACAACCAAAAGAAGAACAACAAATTTAAAAACAAAAAACAACCAGAACTGCCACAAAATTAGACTGTATGGAAGCTGGACAACCAAGGAGTTAAAGAACAAACACTCACCCAGACTGGTAGGAGGGGCAGAGACAGGCAGCCAGGGCAGAGGGCTTAGGGCAAGGCAGCAGCTGGAGGTCCAGGTGGTCCCACATTCATGTTCAGATAAACTAGGAGGAACAACTGGGGAGTGAGACAGACTGAACAACCCAGGGTCCCAGCGCAGGAAAATGAAGCCTCAAACCTCTGACTGAAAACACCTGTGGGGGTTGTGGCATTAGGAGAAACTCCCAGCCTCACAGGAGAGTTCCTTGGAGAGACCCACAGGGTCCTAGAACATATACAAACCCACCCACCTGGGAATCAGCACCAGAAGGGTCCAGTTTGATTTCGGGTAGTGAGGGAAGTGACTGAAAGTCAGCAGAGAGCAGAACGAGTGCCATTGTTCTCTCTGGGACCCCTCCGCAACATACAGCATAACGGTGTAGCCACGTGGGTTGCCCGCCCTGGTGATCATCTAAGCCTCTGCCCCTTACTTCATAACAGGTGTGTGGAGACCAAAAAAAATAGCCCAAATGAAAGAACAGATCAAAGCTCCAGAAAAAATAAAACTAAGAGATGAAGAGATAGCTAAACTATCAGATGCACAGTTCAAAATCCTGGTAATCAGGATGCTAACAGAATTGGTTGAATATGGTCACAAAATAGAGGAAACAATGAAGGCTATGAAAAGTGAAATAAAGGAAAATGTATAGGGAACCAACAGTGACAGGAAGGAAACCAGGACTCAAATCAACAGTTTGTACCAGAAGGAAGAAAGAAACATTCAACCAGAACAGAATAAAGAAACAAGAACTCAAAAAAAAAATGAGGAGAGGCTTAGTTAACTCCAGGACATCTTTAAATGTTCCAACATCCGAATCGTAGGGGGACCAAAAGGAGAAGAGGAAGAGCAAGTAATTGAAAACTTACTTGAAAAAATAATGAAGGAGAATATCTCCAATCTGTTCAAGAAAATAGACTTCCAGGAAGTCCAGGAAGCTCAGAGAGTCCCAAGAAATTGGACCCAAGGAAGAACACACCAGGGCACATCATAATTACATTAGCCAAGATTAAAGGTAAGGAGAGATTCTTAAAAGCAGCAAGAGAGAAGGAGACAGTTGCCTACAAATGAGTGCCCATAAGACTGTCAGCTGATTTTTCAAAAGAAACCTTGTAGGCAAGAAGGGGCTGGAAAGAAGTATTCGAAGTCATGAAAGGCAAGGACCTACATCCAAGATTGCTCTGTCCAGCAAGGCTATCATTTAGAATGGAAGGGCAGGTAAAGTACTTCCCAGGTAAGGTCAGGTTCCAAGAGATCATCATCACCAAGCCCTTATTGTATGAACTGTTAAAGGGACTCATCTAAGAAAAAGAAGATAAAAAATATGAACAGTAAAATAACAACAGACTCAGTTATTAACAACCAAACCTAAAATAAAAACAAATACGAAAGCAAACTAAGCAAACAACTAGAACAGGAACAGAATCACAGAAATAGAGATCACATGGAGGGTTATCAGCAGGGGAGTAGGAGAGGAGGGGGGAAAGTACAGAGAATAAGTAGCATAAATGGTAGGTAGAAAATAGACTGGGGGAAGTTAAGAATAGTACAGGAAATGTAGAAGCCAAAGAACTTATATGTACGACCCATGGACGTGAACTTAAGGGGGGAAATGCGGGTGGGAGGGAATGTGCAGGGCAGAGGGGAATAAGGAGAGGAAAATGGGAAAACTGTAGTAGCGTAGTCAAAAATACATTTAAAGAAATTTTAACTCTATTTAATGCAAATTTAATTAAAGATCCTTTAATCAGGTATCCACTTATGGAATTTAATAAATCTGTTGTAGGGTTTTATTGATGGACTCAATGACCTAAAACCCATGCTTAAAATCATTTAGATATCTGGGTGTTCTTATAATTGTCCATTATCACCTCCCTTTAAACTGTTTCTATTTCTAGAAGATTAATACTATGAAATGAGAAAAACATTTAATCTTTAACTTTTGAAACATGCTTTTATTGAGAATGTGGTGTGGTTAATTTAATCTATACTTTAACATCTTTTTTCCATTTCTCTCTCTATAAATAAATTTCTCATAAAAACATGATTTAAGTTTCCTTTCTCAGGCAACATCATTATGAATAGCATAATATTAAAAATTACCTTTTTAAACTTGAACCTATTATTTTCAGGGTCATTACTAACTTCACAGCCTTAATCGCGGTAGAACCCTGTTTTGGAAAGCCTTAATTAAAATGAAGTTTTGATTTATGTAGTGATATATCATAATATTTTTTCCTCACTTCCCTTCTAGCCATGAACTCAGTGAAATCCACAGCTTGAGTCAAATAACCATCACTGTCAGCCTTGACCTAGCAATGAGGTTCTTTATCAGCATCTTAATTTTTAAAATACAAGGACAGGTATTACAAATTGGAAAGGAAAAATCTACAATAAATATAACTTACAAAATGAGTAGGGAAAGAATAAAAATAGAAATAGATATTATATTTGTTCAAAATATCAGTGAAATAAAAATTTTACTACACATTATTTTGAACATTGAACTTAGAATACCACATGGCACAGGCTACTCTGGTGTTGTACTGGAAGATGAGTTAATAGAGTTTTCAAAATTCATAGTTTAGTTACTATCCCTCCCCATCCTCTCCTTCCCTCTCTCTGCTCTCCCTAGCTCTCTTCTCTTTGTCTAGGTTTGGGATTTTTTCTGCTAAGTAATAGAATTTACGTATCTTATTTTGTTTTAAAATACGGTGGTACTTCTTCTCTGTGGAATGCATGAGAAAATACAAAAAGAACCCTGGAAATGCACATACCCTATCAGCAGTCTTACAGTGTCAAAAGTTCAAAGTCAGGCCGTGCAAGCAGATCACTGTATCTCTGCTCTCCCTCCTTCTATTCCAGTGGGACAAGGCCTTGTCTGTCGCGCCAGGCGTCTCTGTGAAATACTGGAAGAAGTTAATGCAGAGGTAAGGCAGACGGCCTGTGTCTAAGGGATGTGTTCAGATACGTTAAAGTGGAAACACTGTACAAATATGACGGCCATGTCTGAGATTTTCCCCTTTGTGTTGTTATAATTAATCACTGGATGTTGTATCTACGGATCCAGTAAGTGAACCGGTTACAAGTCATCTCATGTTCTTGTATGCAACCTGTCATCTGATAAAGACAGTGGGAGGCTGGTGTCCCCTGTGAACAGGGCAGTGAAATGACAGGCCCATGGACATACTCACTGGCCAGTGAGCTGGCACTGGAAAACAAGGGAGAAGGCTTTCTGAGGGTCACCAAGCATTTGCGGCACGCTCATTCCACAGTCTCAGTTCTCTCGTCAGACAGCAGTCCCTGCCGTTCCCCCTCTGTGGACATGAAGGAGGAACAAAAGGATGAAGAAGAGATTCAGTGCTCAGCTGGCTAAACTAGGTGCCCTTGTTCAGGAATGGAATAAACAAGGTTTTCTGCCAGGATATATTCCTTTCCTAGGGATGCCGTTACAAAGTCCCACAGACTAGGTGGCTTGGGACCATGGAAACTCACTCTCAGTTCTGGGGCTAGAAGCCTGATCAGAAGTTGCCGGCAGGGGTTCCTGCGGAAGGCCCGTGCCTCCTCCCAGCAGCGGGGGTGACCGGCCATCCCGGCTGTCACTGGCTTGTACACATACCACTCCACGCTCGGCCTTGCCCTCACGTGGCCTTATCCCGGTGTCTCCGTGCCTAACTGTCCTTTTTGTAAGGACACCACTCGTATCATGTGTAGGGTCCCAGTATAAGCCCATCTTAACTAATTGCAGTGATGAAGACCGTATTTCCAATTAAGGTCACATTCACAGGTACCATGGGTTAGAATTTCAACATATTTTGGCGGGGACAGATTTTAACCCACAACATGAGACTCTTCTCTATTCCACTCATTCATGCAACAACTATTTATTCCTTGCTTGCTATGTGCTAATCACTGTGCTAGGCCTATAGGGTGCTATTTGAGGAGTGTTTATATCTGGCATTAAAAATGAAAACATTTGATTTTTATTTCATGGTATGTGGTTTATTGAGAACCCAACTGCAACTCACATGTACAGACAAATCAGTCGGGGGAAGCATGGGACCCGGAACAGTGAATGCCTTTGCCGTGGGAAAACCGAGTTCCCGGCACCTGCTGTCTGACTGTGGGCTCAGCAACGGACCTGCACACAGCCCTCGGCCCCAGGCTCTGAGCTGCAGGATTGGAGGGTGGGGTGGGGCCACGCTGCACTGAGGTCTGATGTTAGGGCTCCCACTGAGACCTTAACAGGCCAAGTCAGCAGCAGACATTTGTTTCAGAAACAATTTTGTCTCAACATCACCAAAACTCTACTGGTCTTTGGAAATGAATGCCTGGTCCTCCGTGCTCCACAGTGTGTGTAGTGGCCAGGATACAGTCTTCCCACGGCTCCAGAGTTATGTCTTGTGAAGCTGGCCACGGACGGGGGTCGACAGTCCTCAGTCCTGGTTTCCAATGCCAAGGGAGGAAATGTGGTTTCTGATCAGCTATAACAAGGAAGTCAGGGTCACGTGGTAAAAATACAGCTGTTGGGAAGCACCCCGATGACTCTATAAACTGGGGATGGTGGATGGTAAGCTGGGAAAACAACGTAAAATAGGTCGCTGCACCTAGCCAAAGATTGGCATTTGAAATGTAATTTAATGCAAATGCCAACATAAATATACCAGGTCAGCGTTGAACAACACTGAAGTTAAATATGAAGGGTGGGAGGAGCTAGGCTGGTCATTGAGAAAGTGCCCGGGACTCAGAGATAGACAGAGAGACAGTGATGGACACAGAGAGACAGAGGCAGACATGTGTGTACTCTTCATAATCTTCACAGTCAGCCTCCCCTTACCCCCTTCACGTAGCTGGAATATTATCTTCCTTAAAATTACCCTGCTTGGGTCACTTACAATAGTCTCCAGTTTATTATGAGTACTTAAGTTCTTGCATGATCCTTTTTAATGATTTTTAAGCTAGTTGTATTTAGAAGCTCTCTAGTCATTGTTGTGTTCACTATAACATTTAAAATTCCCTTTAACAAAGTAGACACCCATGTATTTATCAACCCAATTGAGAGCGGATCTTCCCTCATGCATACCCAGTTCACAACTTATTTTCAAAAAAATATGTTGCTCATATAAATAGATAAGCTACATTAATTTTAAGGCCTGAAGTATTCGGTACATCTAAAATATGAAACTAGGTAGTGTTCTAAGGGAAAACAGGTACCTATAGTATTTATTAATTCAGAAAACATTCATCTTCCATATGTGATTTGACCATGAAATCTGCTTTCTTAAAAAGTGATATTGCAAAAGAGCTTGATGGCATTGGCTTCAAATTTTTGATGTTTCTGAAAATCTCAGTCCAGCTGAGAACCTTGAAATTAGTGTATTGTAAAAAAAATTTCTTATTTTATTAGGAGAGCCGATCAATTAATCCAGGAAGATAAGGATGATGTCATCCCCTACTGCGTAGCCACTGGGGACGTGAAAAAACTGGTCGCTTTCTTCCTGTCCCGGGGCCAGCTGAAAGAAGCCCTGCTCGCTGCCCAGGTAGAGGTGTGCGCCCGCACAGGTGCGCATGCGGGCGGGTGGGCGTGGGAAGGAGAAGGCCCTACTGGCTGAGTCCCCTTGATGTGATGGACAAAGTCAGAGGTGGCTCAGCCTCTGCCCACCTCCTGGTGGCCACCACCTTCCATCTCGACATTCCAGTCTCTTTGCTCTGGTTGCACTGGATGCATTTTAGGTCTTTAAATATACAAGCATGTGTGAACTCTGAACTGTTGAGTGCAGTTGAATGTTCTACATGCTCGTGCAGCTTTGTCTGTAACCGTGAACTCAAAGCTTCACATGTGTACAATGGAGTTCACATTTATTTTTCAGATTCCAAGGGTGTCTGTAAATTGTAGTATAAATTTCAAACAAGATTCAGGTATGCTGTGTTCAAAATACTGGTCTGAAATTGATCGGTTACCAACAGTTAGTTAAACATTAATTCAAGCTTTCTTTAAATTCCAGGCTGCTTGTGAGGGGAATATGCAAACCTTCCACATTTCTACACCCAAAGGATCCTCTTGTCCCGATGATTTCTACAAGGAAGACTTTAATGAGTAAGCGATTCTTAGTTTGGGGGTCACTGATTGTTACAGTGGGTTTCCCCTGAGGACGTGAGGGCCGTGTAGTTCATCTTTCTTTGTATTCAGAGGACGTGGCTGGCACGTGAGCTCCCTGCACTTCTCTAGTGAGCTCCACCATGGCACTTGTCCCCAGGTGAGTGGGGACATGCCTGGCATGGAGACACAGCCCAGACACCCTTTCTGTGGCTTCCAGGACAGCAAAACGCATTTCAGTGTGGAGACTGCAATTCAAGTGTCTGATTGCTCGCTGCTGAGCAAACCCACTGGGGAGAAGTGGCGCCGCGCTGCCCGTGGATGTTTTGCTGTAAAGTCAGTGTGGACAACAGCACAGTGACATCACTCCTGACCCCACGAGCCCAGTACGAGTGCCACGAATAACACGTTGGCCTTGCGTGAAGAAGAGATCCAAGTAGTTATGTTTTTCAGGGAAATGGAAATTCGACTTCTTCAACTTTTTTGACCTTTTTCAAATCTATTAATCTGCCTTCTCCTCCCTCTTCTCTTGGCTCCAGTTTTACTCTAGAAAAGAGGATGTTTGAACTTTTGGGACACTTACCAAGTCAAAAAGGATCATAAAATGTTAAGCAAATGATGTGTGTGAACTAGTGTATTCCTACCTGGTTCTTTGCAGCAACTCCCTGCCATTTCTAAACGTGGCATCTGGAGGATGTAACACACACACGCCACCCACACGCAGTCACCACCTGAACACAGAACAGTTTGAGTCCGTCTTGTAATCCTTCAGAGGGGAACTGCCCCTAGAGCTGAGTCATAAATGACTCAATGTAGGATAGTAAATTTTGAAAGTTAGGCTTTTCTTCTGACAGTTGGGGGGGGGGCCTCTTATCAACTCATCTGAGAAAGACTCCTTCCTGATTTCCCCCCAAATCAGGCCTTACACCTACATCAAGGCTGTCCAGTTAAATCCTGTTTGAGCCCTGAGTCCGCTGGTCACCAGCGGGCATCGGGTCACTTTTACGGTGGAATCCCGGGTATTTCTGGAACGTGCTCTCCTTTTCTCTCCAGACTCCTGCACACAGTGAGTGAAGAGCTGGCAGAACGGTACCTGCAGGACGGAAGAGCCGTCCTGGCCGCGTGCTGCCACCTGGCCTCGGACGACATTGAGGTACCACCTTCCCTGCAGGTTCAAGTGCATGGGAAGCTCCCTTCCGGCAGGCATTGTGGTGTCTGGGGCTCGTGGTAACTTCCTGTGTGACATCCTGGGTCCCAGGCTGTCTGGCCCCATTAAGCGCACAAACTACAGATTGTGGGGTCTGTTTTTATTTTATTTTTTACTGTTATCACAAGATAGGTATTTGTAACAACCTCACTTGAAGGTATTTCCTCACAGACAAGAAGTGGTAGTGCAGTAAGGGGAAAGATCGCCGAACTCGGACTCAGAACTCCTGACTTCCCAAAGCACTTATTTTTAAGTATGCTTTCGTATAGTCTTCACAAGTGATATTTTAGGGTGTTTTCCACCTAACCCACTAATGTCATGAGGAAAACACTCAGTAAAGACACAGATTCCATTTGCATGTATCTTGGGTATGTTGGCTTTAGGGAGTAATTGATGCTCACCATACACCCCTTAAGATGCTTTCAAGAATTCACATTTTTTCCCAATAGACTGAAGGATTTGTTAAGGATATTGCAGCAAGACATATTAGTTGCAAAAACATGAGCAGGAATTCTAAATTCTTCCATTTTAACCTTGTAAAATGCTTCCCGTGTGTCCGGGTATCAGCACTTCCATTTGAAAATTGCAGTTATGTATGCGTACATCCTGTATAGCAATATGACTGAGTATGTATGGTACAAGAATGACGGTGTGTAGGTCAGTACAGCCTCCCCTACTCTCTGAGCGTGGCGGGGACGGCAGCCCCACCCAGTGTCTCTGCCACTGAAGACTCGGTTTCCTCCCCGAGCCAGCTGGCGATGGCCTCCCTGATCCGTGGAAATGAGCTGGAGCTGGCGGTCTGCGTGGGCACAGCCTTGGGGGAGGCGGCCGCCCCTGCGACCCACTGCGCCCTGGAGTTCCTGGCGAGAAAATGCATGATGATTCCAATGTGGTAAGAATTTCTAAATGCGAAGAAGAGTGTTACAGTGATGGAACGCATTTCTTAAATATTGCGAGCTGCATTTGATAATGTGTCAGGAGTATGCAGGTCTCCTTTTTTACTACAAGGTAAGACAGGGAGAGGAAGCGGTGATATGAGAACGAAGGGACTGTGCCAGCCCCGTGGTGTGTTTGGAAGCCCACTGTGACCTGCCCTGAAGGAGCCCAGTGTGGCTCCATGACATCCCAAGCACACAAAGCATCATGAGACAACATGTGTGCGTATTAAGATCATCACGACCACACATTCCCACATTTTAAGTTCTGCATGTCTACTACTCTCCTCCTGTCAGATCATGTGTTTTGGTTTAAGGTTTAGAAAATATAGTCACTTTTCTAATGGCGGACTCAGGACCTAATCACCTTCCAAGGCCCCACCTCCTTACACCACTACGTGGGGAGGTGGTTTCAGCTCAGGAACGTGGGGGAACAGAGATTTCAGACTGCGGCAGCAATCATGCGCCCCTCCCCTCTCATTTACATGGGGCCAACTCAGAGGAGAGTGGCACTTTCATCCCCCTTTCTGTCCGGGTCTGGGCACTATAGGGGAACTAGTCATCCCAGAGCCATTCTTGCTGTGCCCACCATGCAGTGACAGAAGAGCCCCTTCCCTACCACGAGCCGGAGGCTTCAGTGGGTCTAATGCTGACCATCCTCTGAGGGCCCCCAATTTTCCTCCTCCATCAGGAACTACTGCAGTCAGTGACTTTAGTTACCATGACTTCCCTTAGACCCGCTCCAAAGCAAGAGCCCAAACCCCCATGACTCAGTCACCAAGGCCACTGCCTCCATGCAGAATGTCACCATCTAATCTGAATACTGTGCAATTTGTTTTCATTTAACTGAGGGCAAAAAGAGGCAAACAGGAGTAGATTCTAAATTTAAAAGAGGTTTAAAGGTCTTTCAACTGACTATATGTCTTAGTGGCTCTTAATAAAGAACACACTTGTTTTCCTATAACTCCCTCTGGTTCAGTACCCATAGACATGCACAGGGAAACCCAGGGTAGATGCCCGGCTCTGAAACATAGAAGGCTGATCAGGTTGACTTCCAGGGGAAATCTGGGGTTCTCGTGGCTGTGGGAGAGCCCCACAATTTCTTTAAAAATAATTAAGATAACAGCATAATTTCAAGAGAACGTTTATAATTTTATAAACCCAGAATCCTTCACGTTCTTATGTGTACTGATTAAAGTTTGCCTCTTCTTGGTTCCCATTCTGTACTTATCACATTCATATTCAAAATTGTTCTTTTTTATAGCTTTCCATCTGATGCATACAGGTATCATCTACTTTTATAAAACAGCTTAATTAAAAATTTAAACTTCATTATATTAGAATATAAAGTCTACATTAAAAATTATGATGAACTATTTTCACCTTGTTTTACAGAATGCCAATTTATTGATATGATTTAAAACTTACAAAACCTAACTATGAAACAATGAGAACAGGTCCTATAACCTAGGCACAAAAGCCCACATGATTTTATGCTTAAGTGTATAACAAATCAACTGTGGCTTTCTACAACATGGAAGAATATCTAATTCAGCTAAGCAGATTAAAATGCCTGTTCTGATAGTGAAGTTTAAGAGGTTAAATCATTTGGTCGGCCCATATCATTCTATACACAGGCATTTTCCCCTGTAGGTATACTAAATTTTCAGTAAATAGTGATTTCAGCTAAAGAGTGAATAAAGTTAGCTGGCATTGCTGTAAATTTCACTATGTCAGGACGTAATTTGACAGGAAGAAAATAATATTTTTGTCTGTAGTTGATAGGACTTTGAGTAGAATTTTAGCACAGCAATTTTATATATTATAAAAACAAGTAGTCATTTCTTTATTCTCATGGACATCATTGAAAACTGCTATTAAATGTTAGTATCAGAAAGCATAAAGTCATTCATCATTTCACCAAAAACAGATGAGGTACTCTAACTTAGAAATTGTAAAAACATTCAAAGATTTACTTTTCCAAAGAGGATAGAAAATTTAATGCACAATAAATTATTCCTATTCTTGTTCTATATTCACTATATTCTTTTATTATTTTTTAAAAATGTTTTATTTATTTATTTTTAGAGAGAGGGGAAGGGAAGGAGAGAGAGTGGGAGAGAAACATCAATGTGTGGTTGCCTTTCATGTGCCCCCTGCTGGGGACCTGGCCTGCAACCCAGGCACGTGCCCTGACTGGGAGTTGAACTGGTGACCCTTTGCTTCACAGGCCCGTGCTCAATCCACTGAGCTGCACCAGCCAGGGCTGTATTCACTATATTCTTGATTAACTATCTCTTAATGTTTTAAAAATCATGTTTTCATCAATGACCAACAGAGATTTCACTCAAGGCACAGAAACAAAGGGGGATTTTACTCTCACGATGCACAGTGCATGCTTCATAAATTCACATTTGAAATGTAGCCTCTTTGAAAGTCATGCAGAATGTGTACATAGTTACTTGAAAGTTGAATAATAACCTCTTGAACTGTCAAAAATTAGCCTGTTAATCATCATGCATACAACCAAAAGCTCTTCACCTAGTGACTTTTTAAAAATAATTTTATAAAAAAGACCTGTAATGTAAAGCTGTTGCCCGTGCAATTTTTACATGCCTTATTTTCAAATAATTTATTCATTGATCAAAATTTTTTAAATTATTTATTTATTTACTTTGTAGAGAGAGGGGGAGGGAGGAAGGGAGAAGGAGGAAGAGAAACATCAGTGTGCAAGAGAAACATCTACTGTTGTTGCCTCTCGCAGCCCCCACCTGGGGACCCACTGCAGCCCGGGCACATGCCCTGACAGGGAATCGAACCAGTGACCCTTTGGTTGACAGACAGGCACTCCACCCACTGAGTCACACCAGCCAGGGCTGATTAAACCTTCAAAAGTAAATCAGAAGCCTGCATGTGTCTCTTCGATTTCCACCTAAAGTCTAAGTAATAGGTAGAATGCTCAAAATTTGAACCTTAAAATGTCTAAGTATTCTAATGCACAGCTACATCTGTTCGTTGTTGATGAGCATTAACTTCCTAAGTTTGCTTTGTAATTCTCTCTGAAGCACATATCTAATGCTGCTCCGTTTGGTTAGAGAATTATCCTATAATAACAAAATCCGTGGTGAACGTGTGAAGACTCAGGTTAGAGGTTTAGAAAATATTTCAGAATTTCCTGACCCAGTTTTCCTCTCTGCCCTTGGGTGTGTGTAGCCTCTGTTCGGAGGGGCTTCACCATCAGGTAGGAACTCAGGGCTGTTCGCGTAACTAGGAAAGCCGGGGGGCGTCCCGAGGGTCTTATTCCTCTGACGCAGCTCTGTGTCGTGTTCAGAGTGCTGTTCTCATGCAAGTGTCCCCTTCTGTTCTGTGACTAGGAGTTTGGCAGCCGATCTTCTCCTGATGATCCCTGATAATGACCTGCAATTAGTACAGCTCTGTGCTTTCTACCCAGGGCGCGCGGAGGAGATAGACGACCTTCACGAGAAGGTAGCCGCCGATGTTCGGTGTTCCCGGGGGGCCTCGGTCCCCTCACTGAACCCGTCCTCGAGTCAGAGGGGTGGACACCAGCAGAGAAGCAAATGGACAGTCTCATTAGGAGCCTGGTATCAACACAACAAAAATCACAATAAAAAGTAGTAACATTTATTGAGCATCTACATGCTTGGAACTGCTCTAAATGTTCACATACATTTATATTTTACTCAGTTCTCATGAAACCCAGAAATCAGGGGATATTGTTTCTGCTTCAAAAAGCAAGTGAACTCAGCGCAGCCTGAAGTAGCTAATGGTGGGTGAGAGCGTCGGCTTCCACCTGTCCAGCCCCAGATCCCGAGACCTGTCCCTCACCCATTAGACCCGTGAGGTGCACTTGTGCCCACTTTTAACAGTCGGTGATTCAGGATCTTTAAAAGAATTGATGAAGTGTGACGAAATGCGTGTGCACTTTCCCGACATGCTTTAAAAAAAATCTCATTGCTGAATGTAGGGATCTGTGTCCAAGATTACACATAAAACAACCCAAATGTCTGACGACAGGTGGGGAGGGTGTTTGTATCGATCACAGCCACCTCCGTACCTCGGAGCTGTCGGCACAGTCCTCAGTAAGTATCCATCGCTGGACAAATAGGGCCCCTCACACATGGGGGGGAGTCAAGGTTCCTATAAGTAAAGAAGCTTTATTTTTAGAGTTAAAGATTAGAAAATGTTTTCTTTAGAGCTTATCTTTGTCTCAAAAAACCGTATTTTCGTAAATGTGCTGTGCAGTTATTTTCAAAATGGAAATTACATGGTATGAGCATAGTTTCATAATCTGCTTTTTATCTGCTTTATAGTTATCTGCTGATGTCAGTGAAAACCAAACTTCATGATCTTTCTCATGTATTAACATAGATAGACTGAAAGTGTGTGTGTGATGTGCGTGTGAGTATGTACATGTGTGTATGGGAGAGTTGTGAATGTGTGAGCGTATATGCCTGTGAGTGTGTGTGAGAGTATGTGTATATGTGTGGGAGAGTTGTGTACATGTCACTGTATATAACTATGAGTGTGTATGTGAGCATTACCAGGGAAAATACTTGTGAGAGGATAAATGTTCAGAGTTACTACTGGGTTGTAAGAGGAGTGACTTTAACTTCTTTATACACTTTGCCTTCCATGAGTCAGTTCTTTAAATGAGCTGTGCTTTGCTTCAATAAGCACCATCAGTAAAAACTATTTTTCTGTTGAAATTAGAAGGTACGTGGAAGTCGGGATGCTGTTTTTGGTGGCCCTTTCCTGTGCCGCATTGTCCTGTGCAGCAGCTGGCCCTCCGAGGCCGTGGGCACAGGTGTCCATAGTGGGGCTCAGAGAGGTCGAGCACTTGACCTTGCTGACACAGCTGTTTGCGGCGGGGCAGGAAGAGTCTCCCCATCAGACCATCTAAGAGGGCGCAGGGAGCTCGCTGGTCACACCTCAGCACGGTAGAGGGACTTGTCAGTGTGTAAGGAGTTCACGACCCCGGACAGTTTTGCAAGTTGTCCCAACAACTATGCATTCAAGCACTACATTAACTTACATAACCTTCAGAATTTTCAGATAGGACGAGAATTACGGGGATGATTACCTTCCTCTTCTTGTCTTCTATTTGTGAAATTTGAATGGGAACCATTTTTTTTATCTCCTCTGCAATTTGAGCACACATTAAAGTAAAGAAACTTTTGTCTTAGTCTACCCAGGTGCATTACCAAGCACATGGTTGCTCAGTAAGTAGCTGGTGTTTAGTGAGCAGAGATGGGAAAACAAGATGAAATGTCATGTATAATAGAGCTCCTAGAATGTCATTTGTTGTAATTATTTTGAGAGAGACTGAGTGATCTCAGATGTTCAGTTTACCTAATTTTTAAACAACAGAAAATATGAAACTATTGAATAAATTCTTTAGTAAATGAGCAAATTGAGTAATAACTTCAGGGGAGGTAGAAGAAAAGTGAGGGGAGGAGGGTGTTAGGTGTCGAAGGAGAAGGGACGATGACCCCACTGGGGCTGAACCAGAGGGTCTGCACTCACAACATTGGACATTTTTTGCCCTGGATGCCCATCCTGGTGGTGGCCAAAGCCTGGTGAGAGGGGCAAAGCCTTAGACTGTAAGTGGTGCTTAGAAGCACACTGACAAATTTGAACACCAGCACGTCACGAATCATGCACATTATCAGAATATGACACAGCAGGTAATTCCTGCCACATTGTGGAACAGACTTGGCTTTAACAGGATAGAAAGAAATGGAGAAAATGGAAGCATTTGCTTCTCATGTTGCAATAATGAAATTGCATCAGCTCCAAATCAACACTGTATAGTATTTCAGAACGTCAGAGCTAAAAACTTTTAAAGCTTGTACATTTTTCGCCTTTCTCTTTGAAGTGGAGTTGCTTTGTCTCAAAGGCAAAGCAAAATAAATTAATTGTACACAGGACATGGAAAAATGAACCTTGTATGTATTCTACATTTAATGTAGTTTTTGATTTGGTCAGCCTATTTGTTCTAAAATAATTATCCTCAGCAAATTTTTTTTGCTCAATCCCATTTGCAGGCAGTAATTCCAATATCATGACCAAGACAGTTTACTTTCTACTTCTTTTATTATGTATTTGAGTGATACAAAACCATTAACTCATTAGGTAACACCCCATTTATTATTATTATACCTTAAAGATATTTTCATACATGTATTCTAATACAAGTTATTTTGTTCACATCTATTCTGAGCAACTCTAACAAGAAGAAAATACCTAGGTCTGTGGGACTTATTAGGTACTTACACTGTTGCCTTTACCCCTTTGCATTTTTCTAACACTGTAATCAAACCCACTGTTTTCTAGTGCAAGCTTCCCACAGTAGAAGAGTGTACGCAGTTGGCGGAGGCCTCCTGGGCAGGCGGCCATGTGCTGGAAACTGTGAAGTATTACTTGTTAAGCCAAGAACCTGAGAAAGCCCTTCCTGTTGGCTTGGACTTCATCAAAGGTGAGTGCTTAGTCACTAGTGTAATTTAAAATCCACTCATTTATTTGCTATTTTCATTCATATTGCTAACAAGCTTTACAATTCAGCACCGGCCACCCTAGCTTCAGAAAGGAAGCAGATTGCTGATCGTGTGGTAGGGGGCCCGAGAGAGGGTCGGTGGGTAAACACTTGTGATGGACCGGTCTGGCCAGAAGAGAATTCATTCCATAGGTTAAAAAGTGGGTGAGCAAGTCTTAATAGTAGTATTTAGAGACTCTTTTTTGGTTTCATTTTGCCAGAACACATCAAGAGTTCAGAGTGGACATTGGATACCATTCTTCCCGTTCTTGACCTGCTGAGTTATATTCGTACTGAAAAACTGCTCCTGCCCACGTGTGCTAAGTGAGTGAGTACTTTTTCTCCAGGACTCATAACTGAACCTTCCATGGGAGGTTCAAGTGGGAGCCCTTCATAAGAGTTTCAAGCAGGCTATGTGTTTAGTGTTCAGATCAGGGGATAAGGTAATCTTGGACAGGCAGATGTATGTGTAGAAAAAACGTTTATATTTGTTAAAATCTTAAAAAAATACAGAGATCAGTTTGAAGCAGAAGTCATAAGTCTTCTAATTTACTAATACCTAGTGTTTTTTGTTTTTTCTATGGGTATGTACACACACACACACACACACACACACACACATACCTGGCTTAAATGGGGCCAACTTAAAGCTTTTTCATGGTTCTGAAGGTCAAGTTCTTGAGAAAATGGTAGTTGTGTCTATTAAATACCCAGTGTGTACAGAGCGTACTAGACTGGGGACAGAAGTGAAAGTTCTGAGAAGTAAAAGGCGGACACTGTCCCAGAGAGCAAGCAACATTAAAGGACATTGTTTTCCCTGTCACTAAAGTCCCCAGACACAGAGTCTACCTTGCAGTGGAGACTTTGGGCTCTTGCAGCTTTAGTGCTGGCGGGGAATAGAGGGTGCCGCGCCCGGGGCGGAGTTCCCCAGCAGGCAGCGGGGCACCTGTGCCTGCAGTCGGCCAGTGATTCCTCAATCTGACCACGTGAGTTCCTGAGGGGACAGGCACGTGGAGAAACAGCCAAGAAACAGAGGAAAACAAGGAGGCAGGAGTTCTATCACATTTAAGATTTTCATTTTAAATTATCATTTGTTGCATAGCATAACATCTGAGTACAGCACCTGATGAGTAAAACACCTTTAAGTTCAGAAAATTTGCTAGACATATTTTACAATAAATGTCACTCAGTTGAAATATAGAGATAACCAGTATAGTTAACTACATGTGAAAGTAATGTTCTGGACCTCAGATCATGGAGCTTTTTTAAAAATAAAATATTCTTGTTTAGAGCTCGCAATGAACTGCTCGTGCTGTGTGGCTATGCGGGTGCGTTGCTGGCGATCAGGAGGAAGTACGAGAGCATCGTGCCAGCCCTCTACGAGTACACGAGGTAAAGCGATTTCTCGTCTGTTGGGTCCGGGAAGCTCTGCTCACTCAGGTGGTGAGTCTCTAAGGAGGCACCAAATACATGTTGCATGTGCCCGTCTACTCACTGAGCACATGCTTTATACCACAGCCCTGGCGACCTGCATGAATCAGCAGTGAGCTAGGCAGTAAATAACAGAAATCCTGATTCTAGCTGGAACACACAGGGTTTACGGTCTTATGTCAAGTTACTTGAGGTCACACTTCGGGGCCGTTCAGCTGTTGGCTGCTTCCATCGGGACCTGGGGTCCTCCCTGCTTTTGCTCTGACCTTCTTGGCTTCCTCCTCTACTTGAGTTACCTGTGGTTACCAGGTAGCCTCTAGCCCCCTGACATGGTATCTGCACCCTAAGCTTTCAGGAAAGAGAAAGAGTACAAGGGGGGCGACCACAGAGGCCAAGACCGTCTGCAGCAGGACAAAGTCCCCTCAGGGTAGTGTGCCTGTGTCCCACGGGCCAGAACTGTGGAGCCTACTTTTCAAGGAAGGTGGAAGTCCAGGTATTTCATCCTTCCGGTCTCTCTTTAGTGGAGAAAAGTACAGGGGCTTAGGGAGTAGCAGCTGACTCATAATTGCCTGTTCGGGTAGCATCTACCTGTGTGCACACACATGCACACACACATTCAGACCTGCACATCAACCTCCTCACACTAGTTGCTGAGTCCGAAATCAGTTATTTAAAGTTCTTTGGCTGTTTTGGTGTCTTAGACTTAGACGTCAGGTGCTAATTTCTTTCTCCCGTGTTTCAGCCAGCTGTTAAAACGCCGGGAGGTGTCCGTGCCTTTAACGATCGAACGCCTTTCCGAGGAACTGGATGCATGGAGAGCGTGTGTGCGGTCTGCCAGCCCGTGAGTGACTGGGGCACAGAGCCTGGAATCCGGAAGGCGTGGCTCAGTACCCTAGACAGACCTGTTCAAAATGTGGAGCATCGTTATTCCTCTTAGTGGAATAATGAATCCTGGTTTGCCTAGCAGAGACCCAGTAGTAATTTACAACACTGCCTTTATTAAGTGCTTTTGTTTTACCCTAAGTTGAGTCTAAAGTTGGTTTGGCATCGTCTATAAAGGGGCACTAAATAGTCATCAGGGACTGTTTCGAGGGTAAACCTGAATCCTTCTGTGATTCCGCACAAGTGAAAATGTAACGTCTGTTGGAAACGCAGATCGTCAGACGCCTCTCCGTACACACCCCCTTCCGAGTCACAAAGATCGGTGTATGCAGCTTTACGGAAGAGGCTGGGAGAGGAGCCGTGCAGAGGCCTCGCTGGACCGGGCCACGTGACCGGCTCCCACCTGCCCAGTCACTCCGACGGCCACGTCTCCTGCCTTACGGGCTTGAAAATCCAGGTGCGGTCTAGGGACATCAGAAACCGTGCACTTCCGTCATTTTACTTGTTTCCTTAGTCTTTGAAATGTGGTTGTAAAGTGAGTTTCATCTGACTCAAACTAGGAACGTATAAAGGGTTCTGAGGCCCAATGGGAAGCTGCCCCTCATGCGTCTTCCATAGTTAGTGCAAGTGGTCGCTCTCTCCTTAAAATAAACCCCAGGGTCATTGTGCAGTCACCATAAAAGCAAGTCCTGTAATAGGCATACTCCATCACAGCTGACATGTGTGTGAGTAGCCAGTGCTGTAAAATACAGAGAGGCCATTTCCCCAGGGAAATTAAAGAGATGACCAACAGTCGACAGTTAGGAACTATTATAACAGTTAAATGTCATGACATAGCCTCTATTTGTGTTCTGTAAGCAACCATGAGGGTGGGCTAATTCCCAGAGAATGGGCCCTAATGTCTGGTCACAGTACAGACAGGGAATGGTTCCAGGGCCAGCCCGCCGTCCAGGGAGGCCATTCCCTCCAGGAGGGAGAGGCCCTTGTCATCTCAGCGCCAGGGCCAGGGTGGGTGTCCCTGTTCAGTAAAGCGGAGTCCCCGCAAAGTGCTCAGCGGGAGGGACTACAGCCCGGATGGAGGAGCTCTGTCTCCCAGTCCCAGTCACAGTTTAGGGAGTCCACTCTTACCTTCCCGAAGTAGTGCGGCTAATTCCACTACTAACACTAACACGCCGGGCCAGCAGAGATTTCTGCTTAAAAGAAATAAATGGCCTGCTGCTCGTGTGACCCCTGACTAATGAAAACTTGACACTGCAAACTAATGAAGTCTTCAGAACATACCAGTATATTCCAACGAGCAGGCGGGACACACAGCTGTACTCGCATATACGTATATTTATTATCAACTTGTGTTCAGAGATAAAGAACCAAAGCAGCACACTCAGTAGCTTCCAGTTAGAAAACAATGCATGCTGCCGTTTTTCTAGTACATCTTCAGGGCCACTGCTGTCCTCTGGGTGCCCTAATACCCGATCCCTTCCTGTTCCTTCCTCCTCTTCTGTTCCTCTTCTTCCTCTGAGAGAGCCCACTGACCTAATAGAGGTGCTGTCTCACCTTCTCTGCTCCCCAACTGCGTTGGGGAGGGTCTGCTAATTCCCTCACGTGGGTGACCGCACACCTCCCCTGGCGGTGCACCTTTACCTCGGTGCCTGTGACTAAGCAAGATGGAGGCCACTTCCCAGGATGTTCTGTCTCTGCAGAAAGCCAGTGTGTGCTGGTGACAACTGTGAAATGTCAAGTACCTGGGAACAGGAGGCTGCCTACTTTGTGTGATGGATTTTAGTAGATCCAGAAGTAACTGGTTCACAAACGGTATCATTTGAAATCATGAACAAAAACCTAGTAACTTTAGAACAAAAATAAGAAAATGAGCTTTTTGTGTTTTTTAAGTCATGCTTTTCCAAAAGCTGAGAAACATAAATTGAGTTTCATTAATTTTTTTTTGCATTTAGTTCTTTAGAATAGTTCTTGACACACAAAAGAACTGATATAACTACATTATAAATACACTGCAAACCACACAATTGGTGTGATTTTAAATTATACAGATGCGCACACAGCAATATGTTTTCTTTCCATCTTCTGGGGGCACGTTCAAAATTCTAGCTTAAATAATTTCCCCAGCGGTATGATTAAAATAGTAAAGTATGTTTAAGGCTATTACTAGGCATATATGTCTTTATCAAATGTTAACTTTGTACTAATAAATCAACAATACCTATTATCATTGTTATCACTACTGTATTTAAAAAAACTGAAATTATAAAGTTAAATTCTACTTTGAAAGACATCATGGTATATATGACATTAAGATGTTTTCAGATGTTTCTATATTGGTGGCAGTTCAAAAACTCTATTTTTTTCTTTTAATTTTTATTGAATTTATTGGGGTGACAGTGGTTAATAAAACTATATAGTTTCAAGTGTACAGCTCTATAGCACATCATCTGTATATTGTACTGTGTGTGTTCACCACCCAAAGTCAATTTGCATATTTTTATATTTTCTATCAGCACGGCCTGAGTATCTCCAGTGGGTTATTTATCAGCGTGATTGTGTCTGTAAGTGTAAACACGTGTTGTGAATGTGTAATCTCACCTCGCCTCTCCCTGTGTGCAGGGCCCCGTGTGTTTGCTCGAAGACGGGAAGTCCGCTGTCTCACTGAACGACGCTTTGATGTGGGCGAAGGTGAACCCTTTCTCACCTCTAGGGACTGGAGTCCGACTCAACCCATTCTGACAGGAGGTTTTCCTCCAGACTTAACTATTGTTTTTGGAGACCTTTTATTGGCTAGTACACCTTTGTTGCCCAAGAGCCAGAGATTGGGAGGAGGAAGAGGGAGGGAGGGGGAAGAACGATGGATTTTATTCATTAACTTGAAAAAATAAAATATTTATATACTTTTGAGAAAAAAAATATGTGTCTCTTTATACACTGTGGTAGCCCTATTTGGGAGGAAGGTAATATTTACACCGTGAAGGACTGGGTGATGTAAAAGAGCAATGTAAAACTTTCACAGAGCGGAAAAGGCACCCAGAGGTTTGTTGTTGAAACACTGAGACAGATGTGTGAGTACCACACTGAGAGTGACGTCCGACCTACACGTAGTGGAACCACAGTGAGTCAGTCTGAGGGACCGACTGTGTCAAAACTCCGAGACAGGAGGCACGCAGGGCCCACTGCTCTGCTCACGGCACCCCTCCTGTCTCTGTTCAATGTACAGAAAACTGCTAGTTTCAGCTCATACGCAATAGAACTTTTCAGGTATGTGTTTAATAGATATCGGTAAAGAGATACATGGTCAAAAGACTAACAAGTTTTATTCTTTTAAAGAAAACATCACCAAGGTTCCTATCTGAAACCCCAACGTCCAATGACAGTCAGTTACATAAGGATGAAAAATATCAGGGAGGGGAAAACAAAGTGCAGCCATATCTGCATGAGAATTTGCATTTGATGACAGTGGACAGTTTTAATAGCTCTACTGTGTATGGACAGATAGTGATTTTCGCATACTTTTAGTCAATTTATATTATTAATGCTAAAGCAGAATTTTTTGATGAAAATAAGTTGGAAGCACATTTTTGTAAGTAAATAGGCTATTAGTTGAAATTTTGGATATATTATGTAAATTCAAGTTTTTTAAATATTTATTAAAAGAGTAAGCTATAAAAAAAAACCCTGAGGCATGGCTCTAAATATTTCAATTGTTCTAGAATTCTGACTTTGAAATTTATGCATACTAAAAAGAATAGTACTTTAATACTCAAGTTGTTTTATAGAATTTAATAATTATGAACCTATCTATGACACTGACCACTTCTAACCCCTCAAAAGACATTAAATTTTACTTATAAAAAGTTAATTTTATTACAGAAGAGAATGTGTGCAACTCAGAGGTGTGATGGGCAATGTGAAGTGTATCAGGAGTATTTTATAGGGACCAAAATTTCCTTACTTAAAAATGACAGTCTAAACCCTACTATATTTCTCTTTATTGTTATAGAGTAAGAAGCCTATCTTTTGTGCATTACTTTAAAAGATACCATTGATTTCAAATTATACATATGTAAATAATCACATTCCCTATTTTAATGAGTACAGGAAACTAATATTTTTATGTATAAAATATGAAAGAAATCATATCACTCTTCAGCATGTGAAGACAATAGAGAATAACCCAATTTCTGTCTGAAATCTGAATTGGATTGATTCAAGTTCAAGTCTATTATTCTTTGACACCTATAATTTTCTATGATTTAATGTTAATTTTAACTATTCTTTATAGAATTAGGTCATTTGATTTTTGTCAATCGTATATAATGCCTTAATATGAAAAACAGTTTTTTTAATTTATGAAAGTATTTTTATTGTTAGATTTCATATGCATGAAAACCCAAATAATGAACTTATTTTACTAGTTGAAGATGTCCATATTACCAATAATGAGGATAAATAACTTTGCAAGTTTGAGTCTGCCTGTATGAAAGAATCTCATTAGACGAGGGTTTTAAAAGCATTGGGAAAATATTTGGCCTATAAGATTACCAGCAGGTTAACAAACTGCAGTATCAACATGAGGTACATCTTGTGACAATGCGTTATTTTATTTTTATGTCAGCCAACATGAATGAAGCATATATCTAGTTCCACAAAGTGACGTAGGTATGTCAGGGGTTATGGTTGCATTGGAGCGATGGCCGGTTTTTGTTGTCGCTGTAATAGGAAGGTTGGCTGGTTGGTTTTATTTTTTTGGTCTGAAAAGGTATTCTGAATATAGTGAAATTGTTTGTAAAATATAGCACACATTGTTCTAAAATTGGGTGTTTCATATTCAGTGCACTAGTGAAACAGAAGTTACCTCCATGCTTCTTAGTACATGCATATGGTCCCCATACCTTTGGGATATCCGTACCTAAATAATTGAAAAAGCACTTTCATGTTAATTTTAAATACCATGACACTGTGCACATGGTTATCCAGATTTTTATGAATGAATGTGCTTCAGGCCCATAAACCCTAATAAGCTCTGCAGTTAAAGCCAGAAGTGAGGAAGTTAACCACTCGGATAAGTGTCAGTCTGGCCCCTAAGGCGCCACTGGGATGGCGCAACTTCCCCAGAGTGCCAAGGGTGAAGGGCTGAGCTGCCCCCCAGGACTACCACCTACTTGGACACGTAAAGAAGCATCTCCTGTGGACAGTCCAGGAGGAAGATGAGTGTGAAAGGGAAGCAGGGCTCACTAATGAATGTGAACCACAAGTCACAGAGGCTTCTGTGCCCTGAATGGCATCTGCCTGTTGATGGAAGGGTCCTGGTCCCCCGAGGTGGCTGCCATTCCTGGAGAGGTTCGCTGCTTCTCTCCATCAAAGACCATTGGTGACCCACACGGCCCTCCTGAGATCGCCTGGCGTGTTGGCTTCTGTTGACATGACTGAGACCCCCAGAAGTGCTTGGAGTTACCTACCCTGCCTGTTCGTACCTGCTGCCTTCCATCATCCATTCACTCCCGAGTGCAGCGCAGAGGCCATTTCATCTTTCCATGGTGCCCCGTGAGTCCCTTTTTGTTGTCCCTTTTTGTTTTTTTGTCAAGCCCTGAGGGACTAGCTTTGTCAGGACATGGAACACAGGGTCAGGACGATAAACATGCTACTCCACCGTTTCTCCAAATCTAGGCCTTTTCCCTGGATCTTTTCCCCAACTCATCTTCGGAAGATCTTTTCTTTCTAAAACCCTTCCTGGACCAGACTCTTTACCTCAGGTGAAACCAGCCTCTGGACACATGCCTAAGAATTCCTCTCTTTCATACGGGCTCTCTCTCATTTCTTCTCTCAGATGTGACTTGCCTGATAATGTAAAATTAAACAAGGAGGTCTCTGGAGGAAGAAATTCTAATAAAACTGTGCGAACCTTCAAAAAGGCAGAGAAGGTGCTGCAGGTTAGCGGACAGACCCGCCCTGGGACTCACCACTCATGACGTTCCATTCGGGAGTCAAGGGAGACTGCTCATGAGATTGTGCACAAACAGGAAGAATCCCAGTGAAAGAAAATTTTCCAAGTATGAACACGAAATTCCCAAATATGTATGAAAGACGATCAGTCTTTCAGGATATCACCCTGCTTTTGTTTCCCTTCAATAAACATATGGGGGGCGGGTAAAGCTAAGTTGAATTAAACGGATTGCTCAATACCAGGGCCGATTTTTAAGCAAAGTGTTTTCCTCTTCTATGACTCAATATGAATGGGAAAGACACCTATTTTATAAAAATGTTTAAGGCTATGTTTCAAGGTGCACGAGTTTCCTATGGGCCAAAGTCTAATAATAACCATTCACAATGTTTTAGTTATAAATGAGATGTGTAAATAAATAGTATCAGGCAAACTCGTAACTCCTTTCATTTCTAGTGAGGAAAATATCCCTACAAAATTTATGCAAAAAAATGCTCACTTGTCAGGGTGAATTCTGGTTCACTGTACCTTTAAATTATTTTTGTTCATTCCATACTAACTCATTCAACTTTGCATTTCAACAGTATGGGACACGGGTGTTTTTAATAGGTGGTTGTTGCCTAGAACTAAAAGAAACATGTTCTTTGGTACAATTATGGATAGGACACCGCTTTACTGTACCTATCATTGAAATGTATCCCAGGGTAGACCAGTCTATGCCTTCAGTGTGGTGGGAGGGGTTGGCCTCACTTCTTTCAGTCCTTGTTCAGGTTTGATGGGTTCCGTCAAAGATTCAAAAGGAGGTGTTCCAGAGTGCTTCACATACGTTGTTTTAATTAAATTGCCATTGTCATTTATATTCGCTGGAGTGTTTTCAAAAAACAAAAGTGAAACTAATTTGTGGTTATCGAATATTTGCACAACCATCAATATCTCTAATACAGCAGACATACACACAGGGAGAGCAACAGGCTGAGACAGGTTGATCTAAACACCCGGTAAACAGAATATTTAAAGCATGCATTATAGTGGTCATAAATAAAAAATCTGAATGTCACCCTCCTCCAAAAGTTATCGGCAGTGCCTAAAAATATCCAGGGCTTATTTTGGTCCATCTGATCCTGAATATGACTCAACTATTTTTAAACGTTGCTACAGAAAGCAGCTGAGGCCACAGTGCCATGATTCTAACGGAGCCTCGATTTGACATGCACGTAATTCTTACTCCCGTCTTGGTAGCACCAAGTTGACCAGTTTGACCCCCAGGCCCCTCAGTAGGTCACTCAGCTCTCAAGTGAGGGTCCCATCGCAACTAAGAAATCTGCGTTCTCTCGGGCCGTCATTTTTGCTAATGCTGGATTTAGGGAAACCAACAGAGGAAGTTGTGACTAAAGAAGATGAACAAAGGTAACAACCTGTGTCTCAATGAATTTTCGCCACCTCGTTGAATAAGGAGAGGTTTTGCAGATGAATGGCCTGCGGCGTCTGCAAGCTCAGACGGTGAGCAGGCTAAGTACCTACAGTCTAAGAGGCAAGTCCGTGTCCTTGCTCCCCACTCCACGAACTTGCATGACCTCTGACCTGAACTGGCCACTCTGCCCTTTCATCAGAAATGACTGACATGGGTTCCCTTTCTCCAGTTTGGAGAGGTGGGATGTAATTTAAAGCTTAGCAAAACAGCTCTCATCCATCTCATTGCCTGGGGCAGAGCCACACCATTAATTAACTCCCATTCAGCCTAGATTGGGAGAATCCAAGCACTGGAACAGGATGGGGAGAAGTGAGAAGAGAAAAGGCTGCTCCCTCCCACCCAGGTCCGCTTCGCAGCCAGGGGAAGGGGACAGGGAGGGACCCACCGCAGCCCCCTCCCCAGACCCAGACTGCTCTGTCCACCCATCACAGTGCTGCCTCCAACCTCAGCCCAGGGCCTGGCTTCAGCTCCCTTCTGCAGCCCCGTCCCACTGTGGAACCTTCCCTCTCACTGCAGGTGTGTCCCAGGTGGAGGAAGGGTCCACAAGTTGAAGGAAGGGATGTGTGCCAAGATCCTGAGGGGACCCGATGAACCCTTTCTCTCCCAAAGAAACCCTGTTACTTCTGTAGGGTCCCCTCACGCTGAGCACCATGCCTGAGGCATGGGATGAGTGAAGGGGGTTCGACGGACCAGCTTAGTGTCCAGATATTAAAAACTGTGCTCTGAAGACCGGTGTTTGCACTGGGGCATCAGCAGGACAAAACGGAATTAGCAGTGGCGTGTGATCAAATGGAGGTGGGAGACCTTCATTCAGTGCCTCTCTTCCTGCACACCTGCAGTGCATCCGAGCACGTGAGGGGCTCCATGGGAGTCATGAGTTTGAAGAGAGGGTGCTGGGACATTGCTTTTCCAGACCTCAGGTAAACAACCGCCCTCCCCCACACCCCCTGCGACCTCCCTGGACACTTGGGAAACGAACTCCAGAGCACAGATCACACACACTCTCCATCAAGGGCCTGATGGTTGTCGGGGCCAATACAGGACACGCAGTTCAACTTGAATTTCACATAAACAACGAATAATTTTTGGTAAAAGTATGCCTTCCCCATTTCCTAAAAGTCACTGGTTGTATTATGTCGCCTCTTTGTTCACTGACTCTGGAAGCTGGCTTTACGGGTCAGATGGTCTTGGGCAGCTGCCCGGCCTGGCAAAGAGCAGGGGTGGCCACAGGCCAGCCAGGGTCCAGTGCAACTGCATTCACAGATGTGGACACTTGAATTTTATGTAGTTTTCAGGTGTTGGGACGTACCATCTTTTCTCTGATACATTTTTTTCAGCCATGGACAAAAAACAATTCTTACAGATTCTACAAAAACAGGCTGCCAAGACGTGGGTCAGGGCGAGGGTGCAGTGGGGGCGCGGGCTGTAGTTTGCAGTGATAGAAATGCTTTCTATCTAAGAGAATTTAAGCAAGTGGCGTCTTGTGATGCACCTGACTGGGGTGTGTAGGTACGCAGGGACCTGTGTCGGTCTGAGGACTCAGGCACCGCCAGCTCCTGGAGAACTGAGTTTTGCGTTTCGCCTGCTTGACACCCCCACCTGCGTGAGGATGAATCAGAACCCAGATGGCTCCTCCGGTGGGAGGCAGGGGGCGCACCCCTGACGGGACCGCAGGTCCCGCTTCCTACCGGGAGCACGGCAGACCACCAACCTGCGGCACCATTTTACACTGGATGCTAAAAATTTAAATGAACGAAGGCCAAAAAAATCACTTTAACAGGTAAAAAAAAAAGGTAGACATAAAACAACAGAAACCCTTACGTAAAGCAGGAACAGCTGGTGGCCTGGAAATCACTGATTTAGGTTTGTGCCGAGGGGCCCGCGCAGGAAGGCGGTCCAGAGTAAGTTCTCCCACGGTCGGTTTGACATCAAACCAGTCTACAAAATAAACACAAATGTTGCTTCTTAAGGACCCATGGTGGCCACTGACTAAATAAATCACCCTGATTTAGAAATTAAGCAAACTATGTAGACGTCTGTTTTACCATGTTCTGAAGGGCGTGAATACAGACAGGGCTTAACAACCCTCTCACTACCTCACTGATACACAAAATAATTGCTTTAAAAAGTTACTTCAAAGGAAATGTCTTTAAATAGTACCCTATTTAGTACCCTAAATAGAAAGCATTGTCTCAACTTGTCTTCATAAGCTAGATTTACCTTGTTTTGTATTTTATATAAATGAAATTGTATAGTGTCTCAGTTTGCAAATATTTCTATACAAAATGAGTGACTTAAAATTCTTTCTGTTTTCCATATTTCTGATCCACTAATTCTATAAGCTGCCGCACTTGGGCATCAGTTTCCCCATGTTTCTAGAGCTTCTGAAGGTCATTCCTCTGCAGCTTGCCCTTCACCAAGGCTTGAGGTGTCTAAGGTAATTTCTGCTCATCAGCCGTGCCCTGCTGATGCTTGATTCAATGCTGGTCAGTAACATTCCCTGAGTGGTAATTCCCATGATTATTTACTTGGGCTGCTGAAAGTTAGCATGCCGGAAAGTGTAGACTGGTTCTAACGGAACACTGTCCGAGACCCTGAAGGGTTGAGGTTACGCACAGCTAAAGGGAAATTGTGTTCAGAGGAAGACAACTTGGAAGGTAAGAGTTAAATAGGAGTTAGCTTTGCACAGAAATGGGGACTTTGAATAGAAGATTAAATGGAATAGTTGCATTTTGTTCTAGGAATCCCAGCTAGAGCCAGTGAACAGAAGCAATAATGAGGTAGATTAAACTGAACATTACAAATAAAAGAGAATGATATCTGATTTGCAGTGTTAGAACTATGACAACCAAATTTAAATGCTGGACACTGGAACTTAACTGGGGGAGGGGGATGGCAGGGTGTGATAATGTATCATAGTACCTAAGGTCCTTGTAGTAAAGATACTAACTTTGACCCAAGAAAAATATGCATGTTAAAATTTCTACAGTAGCACTAAAAAGTAGAAATGTAAAATTTTCCAAATCAGTGGAGGGGGAAAATATCTTTAGAAAAAAAAAACAGTCCAAAAGAGGAAAAGGTAGGTGAGACATAAACAAGAAACAGAGAATAAATTAAAAGCAAAAAGAATGTCATGTGAATGCATACGTAACAATAAGCAGTATTCCTGCGTCCATAACCATGAAAGTCACAGTACATGAAATCACAAAGGGCTATGCAACAGGGTCCCCCATAAAGAACAAATTGCAGGGTTGCGATACTAGGTGTCAACACTTGTTGTAGAGCAACAGTAGTTAAGACAGTATGGCCATCGACGTGCCTCATATGTAGACAACGTTCACTGGAGCACAGAAACAGATGCAAATACAAACAGAAGCTTGAACCCTTTGGAAGATGAGGGTATCACAGATCAGTGGGAAAAGAACAAACTACTCAAAAACTGATGGTGAGACACCTGACTCTCCATTTCTGTTGCAGACAAGACTGTACAAGCGAAAGGCTAATCTCTTCTCAGATGTCTATGCTTCACAAAGTTTCTCCTTTGCCACAGGTTTCCTTTTTGCTCCCTGCATGGATCTCTTTGCTGGGCAGAAGCCTTAGAGTTTGATGCAATCCCACTTGTCTGTTTTGCTTTTGCAGCCTGTGCTTTTAATGTCATAAAAAAAATTGCCCATACAAATATTGGGAAGCTTTCTTCTTATGGTCTCTTCTGACAGTTTTAAAGTCAGGTCTTATGTTTAAATCTTTAATCCAGTTTGAGTTGATTTTTGAATATAGTGTGAGATACAGACACAATTTCATTCCTCTGGATGTATTTATTTAGTTTCCTCAGTACAGTTTATTGAGAGTCCATCCTTTCTCCTTTCTGTGCTGTTGGTACCTTTACGAAGATCAGCTGACTGTGTATGTGTGGATTTGTTTCTAGTTTCACCATTCTGTTCCATTGGTCTGTGTGTCTGTTTTCATTGCTATAGCTTTGTAGTATAGTTTGAAATCAGGAGGTATGAGGCCTCTAGCTCTGGCTACTCAGGCTCTTTTGTGATTCCATAAAAATTTGAGATTTTTTTTTCTTTTTCTCTAAAGACTGCCATTGGAATTTGAGAGATTGCATTGAATCCACAGATCACTTTGGGTAGTATGAACATTTTTAACAATATTCTTCTAATCCATGAACAAGGGTGTCTTTCTATTCATATCTGTGTCTCTTTTTCTTTTCTTCCTCAATATTTTATAATTTACAGTGTAGAAGGGGTCAATATCCAAAATATGTGAGGAACACATAAAATCCAATAGCAAACAGAACAAATAGCCTGCTTAACAATTGGGCAAAGGACCAGAGTAGACATTTCTCAAAAGAAGACATACAAGCAGCCAGCAGGTAAACAAAAAGGTGCTCAATACCATTAATCATGACCAGCAACCAGGAAAATGCAAGTCAAAACCACAGTGAGATATCATCACAACCATCTTAGAATGACTATTATAATAGGAGACAAAAGATGACAAAGTGCTGGTGAGGATGTGGGTGGCTGGGCCCACCTGAACAGCCCAGCATGTGCTCCCTGTCACGAGGTCTGCAACCTTAATCATGTCTGCACAGGCTCTTGTTGTTGTAGAAAGCAACACAGCCATGGGTTCCTGGGGTCAGGACATGAAAGACACGGCGCACAGTCTACCCACTACAAAGTTGACAAAATCAACTAAATCAAAGTTAAGAGGTAGATATGAATTGACTAGGACTAACACAAATGCTATTCATAGACAAGCTAATTTTTTTTAAATCAAGGAAATTATAAACCAAGGCAGACGGATGACGGTTCCTCTCTGCAGGAAGTGTACACAATGGCCCCTGAGGAGGACACGCAGGAGATGTGAAGGCGTTGCAATATTCTACTTCTTAAATTACAAAAGGATACACAAGTGTATGTTCATTGTTATTGGTCTTCTAATTATACATATTCATTATATGCATGCATGTAAGATACAGTTCACAGCCATATTTTAATGTTTGAAAACATACCAAAAATTTGAATATAAAATTTTACAAGATTAATAATCTGAGTTCTTTCTCTACTCACAAATGCATAAGTAGAATAAATCAAGGAAGAGAAGCAAAAAAAATGACAGGAGATGAAAGAATAGACAGAGTAAATGGAGAACAAAAGCCAAAATACCTATGTCACAATTCGTGGGGGAGTTCAAGTTGCTTCTCCCTCTCCTTCCAGAGCCAGAGCCAAGAGAGAAAGACAAGATGGCTTTTCTGAAAATCAGGGTCAAAGAGAGAGAAATCCTAATGGCCTACATCTGCCTCACTCCTGAATGGCTTGGGTGCCATGGTAATGATGGGGTCTATAAGTGCCTAGAATAAGGGAGATAATGTTCCAAACGCAAGTGATGTCCTGTATAAGTGGGAGGAAATGAGAGGAGAGGGGAGGGGAGAGGAGAGGAGGAAAAAGAAAAGAGAAAAGGAAGAAAGAGTCACTTTGCCATGCTGGGACTCTGACAGCCAGTCCTTTGGACGCTTTGAGACCGACTCGGGTGCTGCCACTGGAACGTCTCCATGGGTGGCCCCAGTCTGCCTGATCATCCAAACAGCAACAAGACTGCTCGGTATGGAAAGGATGACACTGACGGCACTCTAGAGAGCATCTAGGGGTAAAGTACTTGTAGCCTGACGAACTCTTATACATTCCCAACCTCTTTACTAACTTGAGTTGATATGTGAACTTCTGAATTCCCGCAAAATTTTACATGAAAGATTCACTGAATAGACTTCTGGCCAAAATGGAGGCATAGGCAGCACACTGTGCCTCCTCGCACAACCAAAAGAAGGACAACAACACATTTAAAAACAAAAAAAACAACCAGAACTGACAGAAAATCCAACTGTACGGCAGTCCAACTACCAAGAAGTTAAAGAAGAAACACTCACCCAGACTGGTAGGCGGGGTGGAGACGGGCAGCTCGGCAGAGAGGACTCGTGGCAAGGTGGTGGCTGGAGGACCAGGGCGGTCCCACATTCATGTGCAGATAAACTGGGAGGAACAACTGGGGAGTGAGACAGACCCACAACCCAGGGTTCCAGTGGGGAAATAAAAGTCTCAAAGCCTCTGAGTGAGAACACCTGTGGGGGTTGAGGCGGTGGTGGGAGAAACTCCCAGCCTCACAGGAGAGTCCGTTGCAGAGACCCATGGGGTCCTAGACCGTACACAAACCACCCACTGGGGAACCAGTACCAGAGGGGCCTAATTTTCTTGTGGGTAGTAGGCGAAGTGACTGAAAACTGGCAGAGCCCAGCAAGCAGCACTGTTCACTCTCTGGCCCCTCCCCCACAGGCTGCATCATTACGCAGAGACGTGGGTTGCCCCGCCCCATGAACGCCTAAGGCTCCACCCCTTACTACAAAACAGTGGCATGAAAACAAACAAAAAAAAAATGGCCCAAATGAATGAACAGATCAAAGTTTCGGAAAAAATACAACTAAGCAATGAAGAGATAACCAATCTATCAGATGCACAGTTCCAAACACTGGTAATCAGGATGCTCACAGAATTGGTTGAGTATGGTCGCAAATTAGAGGAAAAAATGAAGGCTATGCAAAGTGAAATAAAGGAAAGTGTACAAGGAACCAACAGTGATGGGAAGGAAACCAGGACTCGAATTAATAGTTTGGACCAGAAGGAAGAAACAAGAATTTTAAAAAATGAGGAGAGGCTTAGGAACCTCCAGGAAATCTTTAAATGTTCCAACATCCAAATTATAAGGGTGTCAGAAGGAGAAGAGCAAGAGCACGAAACTGAAAACTTATTTGAACAAATAATGAAGGAGAACTTCCCCAATCTGGCAAAGGGAATAGACTTCCAGGAAATCCAGAAAGCTCAGATAGTCCCAAAAAAATTGGATCTAAGGAAGAACACACCAAGGCACATCATAATTATCTTAGCCAAGATTAAAGATAAGGGGAGAATCCTAAAAGCAGTAAGAGAAAAGGAGACAGTTACCTACAATGGAGTTCCCATTAGACTATCAGCTGATTTCTCGAAAGAAACCTTGTAGGCAAGAAACGGCTGGAAAAAAGTGATCGAAATCATGAAAGCCAAGGACCAACATCCGAAATTACTCTATCCAGCAAAGCTATCATTTAAAATAGAAGGGCATTTTAAAATTAAGGGCTGTCATTTAAAATAAAGTGCTTCTCAGATAAGGTCAAGTTAAAACAGTTCATCATCACCAAGCCCTTATTCTATGAAATGTTAAAGGGACTTATCTAAGAAAAAGAAGATACAAAATATGAAAAGTAAAAGGACAACAAACTCACAGTTATTAACTGAACCTAAAACAAAAATAAAACCAAACACCAAGTAAGCAAACAACTAGAACAGGAACAGAATCACAGAAATAGAGATCACAGGGAGGGTTATCAGTGGGGGAGTGGGAGTGGGAGGGAGAAAAGGTACAGAGAATAAGTAGCATAAATGGTAGGTAGAAAATAGACAGGAGGAGGTTAAGAATGGTATGGGAAATGTAGGAGCCAAAGAACTTATATGTAAGATCCATGGACATGAACTGAAGGGGGGGGGGGAATGCAGGTGGGAGGGGGTGTGCAGGATGGAGGGGAATAAAGGGGGGGAAATGGGACAACTGTAATAGCACAATCAATAAAATGTATTTAAACGAAACAGCTCTTTTTAAAAAAATGATTCACCAAGTAGATTTTTCTAAAAAGCAATGGGTGTATACAAGGTTGACTTTTACTTTCATCAAAAAGGATGACTTGTAACATAAACCAGTGCAATGAGAATAATTTACCCACTGCTAGAATAGCAGTAGAATTTTCCCATTAACCAAGTGACAGAAGGGAGAAGTGAAAAGGTGGCAGTTTTTTCTTTCTTCTGTGCTCAGGAAGACTCTCATTAAAATGAGAAGGATTCAGTCGGGTATTTGCAAGGAAAACTTACTTGGATTCAACCTTCTGCTTATTTTTCTTCGCAACATTTGTAAAAGGAAGAGGAAATCAATTTTAAATTCATTGCTGAGCATATTGGGATTACTTATTAATTCTGACACCCTAATGTTATCTTTGATAGACTTCGAAGCCGTTGACCTAGGGACCAGGGGCAATTGCATCTGGTAACTATAGTCTGTGAAGTTCACAGGATCGTCCTGGACACTTTTAATTCTGGAAATGAAAAATAAAATACCGTTGACAAGCCATGTTTTAGGAATGAGACTTATACAGTATTATCAAAAGTTTCATAATAAATTGTATTACTAGAAAGTCCCAAATAACTCACTCTCGCTGTGTTAACAAGGTGTAAACTTCTTGTATCAGTATTTCCGGTACTCCTGCTTTACAGTGAATTGTTCCATAGATTAGTTCTTTAGGTAACTTCCATTTCTTTTTGGCCAAGAACTTTAACAGTAGAAAGAAAAACATTTTCATCATAAAAAGTTCTGTAAAAATATCCAATTACTATGGATTCACTTTCATCCCCCTTGTACCTCTCAGCTAATTTTCTGTTTAACGTGCTAATTATTGAAAGATATTATTTAGCAGGAAAACCATGATATCCCACTCCGACTTGAAATGAGTATGCTCCGTGTCACAGGTGACTCTTGACCTACACTTTAATAGCCTTCTCTCCAATACAAAGGAACCCACTGCCAACTCAGTATCGTTATTTCCTGGCACAGTCATACTCCTATGGAAGCCCCAGACCCTGGGAACCCGCCTTTTAAAACCCACGCTTAACTGTTAAAAGTGTCACGACTGGTAATTTACCTGTTTTAACTGTGCCCAGTTATCCAACTTGACTTTTAAGGAAGTTCCGTTTTGAAAGGATGACAATCTAAGTTCCCAGGGGTAATGTATAGTGAATATTTCTGCTATCAAGAAGCCGTTGGAAAAATCCCTGATCCAGAGCAGTAAGGAAATGAAATGAAACATTGTTACTCACACCATTTGGGTTACAGTTAACGCCAGTCTACTATTCTGTCCTGACAGCCAGTTACTTGTCCAGGGTCCCTGAAGAGCCTCGACTATTTCCTTTTAAGTCACGTAACCATTCTCTATCAGCTCCAGTCTAGAATGTGATGACTGGGTGAGTGAATGAAATGTTTCATCAGATTGTTTTCAGGCCCGCGCCCTGGGAGCACAGGGGTGTCTGTGGGTATGGGTCTGGGTGATGGGCGGGGCAGGTGGCTCGGGTCCACCTGGCCTGCCTTCCCTCGCACCTGTTGACGTTCCTGGGGAAGAAGGTGAGGTCCAGGCTCTGGAGCCAGCGCAGGAGGGTCGGAGACAGGCGGCAGCTCTTCGGCGGCTGCGAATACACCAGACACTTCTTAGGCCTCCCGGGGGCGGGTGCTGAGGGCCGTGGCAGAGGTGGCGGTGAAGGTAACTTGGCTGGGTCTGCCGCCGGCACTTTCAAAATCACTTTTCTGCCACGGGCAGCAGCCATGGGGCTTTCTGGGTTTCTATAGCAGCACCAGCAGGGGGCGGGGCTTTTCGTGAGGGGCGGGCCTCGTGGGTGGGACGGGGCCTCGTGGGGCGGGGCCTCCGCACAGGCGTGCTGGGCCTTGTGGGTCCCACAGTTTGGGGACCCGGCTCTCTGGGTTGTGTGACACCTTTCTGGCTCCTTTGGGCGTGGAGATGGTCCAGAGAACTTTACCTTTGGGAGGGCTTCCCCTCCGTTTTAGTTGTCCTCACTAGTTTAGAACAGCCTTGAAGTTTCCATTTTGGGTGTGAGGGTTTCTAAGGCCAGCTGATGGCCTGTTTTCAGCGTTTTTTATTTTCAATTACAGTAAATACACATCGCGAAGGCCTGTTTTCAGCCAAGCATTTTAAGGAGGCTGTGAGGAAGCTGCAGAGGACAAGGGCAGTTTTGTTCAGAAGTGGAAAACAATAGGGTTTTTCCCTCCTAAACCCAGAGACCTGAATAACCACGCGCACGGTGGTTTACAAATTCCTAACTGAAAGCTATTTGTGGTGGTAGCCACACCCTGGCCCTGTAGCTTCCTTGAAAAAGGTTATCTGTGACTTTGAAAAGGTCTATTGTCTTTGTGCATCTAAGATAACATACCTCTGCGATGTCAGTGCAACTTTCCTGTCCACACCCCTCAGTGCTCAGCCCGGACCAGAGCAGGAGAGACGACAAGGTTATCTGTTCCCCGCCTGCCACCTCCGTGTGCAGTAAACGTTCACTGTCCTGTCCCCACCAATGTGAAAAGCACGAGTCTCCGCTCTACTTTTCCCCCAGTCCCAGGGATTTCCCCGCTTTGCCTTCTCCCACCTCCCTAATCTGCCACCAGTGAATTTCTGGTTCCTGTCTCCCACTTTTTATTGAGCCAGAGGATGTTTTACCACACTCACTCAGAGCCCTTAGCCACCACTGGGAAAGTGGCCCTCGGACCCTGAGGCCCAGCTTTGACTCCAGGACGGCTCCTCGGAGCTCAAGAAGAAAACACAGCCCCTTCCATCAATCAGTCTGGAGGGCTGTGCCTCCAGGTTCTCTGCTCCTAGGACCCCAGCTTCTTCTCTTTGTTCTCTCTCTGTAGGGGTGCACATTGCTTCCCAAAACATCTTTCCCTGTGAACTGGATGCTCCCTTTTAAGCTTTTCAGTTTTCTTCAGTGTCTGTTGCATCTATTCCTTCTATGAAATTCTTGTTGAATTGGATGCTGAGTGATACGAGGCTACGTATGGGCCTAGAGTGAAGCTTTGTTAGCAGATGAAAGGGGCCCGTGTGCCTGCGCCCACCAGAGCCCAGTCTGACACCACCAGGATTTTGCAGCTCAGAGGGTCGGGATTTATCTATAGGAAGTGGCTCACCCTGGGCACAGCCCCTCCTGCTAAAGACCTGGCTCCCAGGTGGCTAGGGGAGTTGGGACCTGGTCAGGGTTGCAGTCGAGGTCTCTGAGTGGTCAGCACTAGGGCAGGTAGCTGGTCATTGCATCTGCTCCTGACTTTGGCCAGAGTCTCACTTCGTATGGTTTTGCTGCTTCTCTGGGATGGGAGCTAAAACACAAATTGAGGCCCAGTTTGACAGAAACTCTCCCTCTGTGCTCAACAGACCCAAGGCTGTGCTGCTAAGATTATTTGATGCTGACCAGCACCCCATTGTCCTGAGGGCTTGATGACTGAGCAGACCTGCAGGGGAGACGGAGGCAGGTGACTCAGGGTGCCGGATGAAGCCTTTTGAACCAAAAGGAAAGGAGATAAAGTCTTATTAAAAAAATGAAGTTTCTGTGAATTAGTTTCCCCCTACCACGCGCTCATATACATCTTACTCTGGCATCTAAGAAACTTGCTACTCCCTGTGTATCAGACCCGTTCAGCATATTATCATAAACAGAGTGGACACTCATAAACAGGTAAGACACTCAAAAACCCCTGCTGACCTTGTGGCAGAGAGCCAGAGAATGGACTTGACTCGTGGCAAGACTGGGAGTGTGCAGTACCGGTCTTGCTAGGTCCAAGGAAATGGATGTGGTAGTTCTTGCAGGTTGACACAGCCGCAAAACGTGCTTGCTGCACGATAAGCAGAGGGACAGTCGCCAGGGGCCATGGCGATTGACTCCAGTAGATACTTCAGATGCAAACGCAGCTCTAAGTGGAGTCACCTCTGTTGAGTTTACAATGATCTATAGTCACCCTCTAAGGTCCATCCACTTCCACGTCTGTTGGGGAGCCTTCGAAGTCAGTGCTTGTTACCGACCTGCCAAAAGAACACGCACGGCTTCACTTGATGTGAATATTTTGTTGAGTGAGAAAGGAACTATTCTCCCACAAGGAGCCTCTCAAGGGCAAGTGTGAGCCACTGGCTAGTCAGCACGGCGCATAGCATAACAGGCCAGGGCACGGGGATGCTGTTTCCTATTACGACTGGTTGCTGGAAGCTGACGCTTTCTCATTGCTTAAGCTCACTTGTTCGTAGCCGCTTAGCTAGGAGGATGTGAGGCCACATTGACATGAAGAAGGCTTAGAGTCTTCTTTACGGTCAGAGTGGGGGCACTTGCCTCCTTCTGAGCTGTGTCCTCCTGCAGCCTAGCCCATAACCACACTGAGGGGATGGCTGGCTTCTCTGTCCATGCCTTTATTTTTCAGTTTGGTCAGAATCTGGGCAAGAAGGTGCTAATTACTGGGTCCCTCCAAGAGCCTACTATTTCAAAAGATGGAAAAGAATATATAAAAATATATAAAACGAGGAAGGGATTAAGAAAAGGTGGAAGGGAGTAGGCACATTTCTTTTAAGACGTAAGCCTGATGATACTTATCATAAATTTTGATATTTTCTTTCCATATTCATCCTAGATATCAGAATGCAGGATTTTTATAAATTTTAAATACTTAACTCACTGAATTTTGATGGAAACATTTTATGTCTCTATTTGTGATCTGTAAATCAACAGTACATGGGTAAAGTTTCTTAAAAGTTGGAGGCGTCTGTGGGATTGTTGGTTAAAAAGTTGTTTTATTCTGCGCCCTAACCTTAATTTAAGATTCATTGACATCTGCTGGTCTCATCACCTGGCTGTGGCCTTGAGATACCATTGTCTTCAGCTGTATTTAAGCTGAACTCCTTGGAGTCTCACGCTAGGACTACACATTATTTTATAACTGTCAGTGGACGGTGGACTTTCAAAGGTGGTTATACAAAAAGACTCTGGTCCAGTTTCTAAGGTGCTGGTGATGAGGAAATAAATAACTTGCCCCCCTCACACAGCCTCCCAATAATTGTTTCAAGCTGAAAGTCACAGCCACAAGATGCAATAAATTAAACATGAATTGGAAGCATCCTTTTTATTTAAACAAGCAGAACTGTAAACTTAAGAACACATCTACTACCTAAATTACTACTTATCTATTTTATGTTTCAATCTCAGAGTCAACTTCTTAAAAAAGACTGCAGGATATAATCATTTACTTAAATATTTTAAGATCTCAGATGCTGAAAGTAGTTTCAGCTAATTTTGAAGCCAAGAGTCTCGGGAGTTTTTCTCCCCCTCGGTGATTCTCTCCATCATGTTCAGGCTGGACGCGTATTAGAGGCACTTTGCTCAATAGCGTGTTCAAATCCATCAGGCCGCTTCGTGTCCCCATCTGTACAGATGGAACTGGGTAATGTTCACCCCTGTAATTGTAATTACAGCTCACGGTCAACTCAGTCACAACTGACAATGACTGTAATGGGCTATAATCTTTACATAACAAAGGAAAACACCAAGAGGAACAGGTCTCTCTCTCCCTCCAAAAACACCCAAAGACTTGAAGCCTTTCTAACTACATGTACTGTTGGTGTGGAAATGAATTGAATTGCTACAGAGTGACTGGCACATGTGTGAGGCCCTTGGGCCTTCCACTCTGGGCCTTGCTCACGCACTTGGCAGTCGGGGCCACCTGTTGGCCGGGTTTGCCATCTTCAAGGAGGCCAGCCGGGGCTACTGAGAGGACAGAAGCAGAAGGTGCAAGGTCCCCAGAACTTAAGCTCAGCAGGAACCCAACATCACTTCCAGCATGTTTTTTAGTCACAGCAACAAACAGGACCAGTCCAAATTCAGGAGATGTGGAGGAAACAGACTCCCACCCTGGACAGAAAGCAAAGGAAAGTCACATTGCAAAAGGGTGTGACAGTGGAACCACAGGGGACACTTTGCAAACAATCTACTCCAGTTTTCCTGTGTCCTTGGGCCTTAATCAAATGGAATCTGGGTAAGCGCAGGTGATTTTCCCACAAAGGGTTCAAGACAATAGAGGGAGAAGTTACATCTCCTGCCAAGGAGAAAGTTCATCCTGCCTTTTGCTTATGACTTTACCTTCTTGTGTAGTTCTTGTTAAGTTTTTAAGTCTCAGAAAAGGGGGAAGAGAAAGGTCCATCTGACTTACCTAGTGAGGAAAAAAAATCCCCCAGAAGGCTGTTATTTATTGGCGAGTTTACAGTGTCGTGGGAGAATGGGAACAGGTATAGAATTTGCAGGGCACACTGCAAAATAAAAACGTGGGCATGTTGTTCAAAAATGAGAATCCCCAAACGAAGACAGCAGACCATCAGCCAAGCATGGGGCCCTCTGCGTACAGGGTCCTGGACCAGAGACCACCCATTGCCACCACAGTAGGCATACGTGGGTGGATTGGCCACGTGACTTCCCTCTTCATACACAACCAGAGACAAACATTTGTGAGATTCTTTTCAATTCCTTCAATGGTTTTTCCTGAGGATGTAACTGGAAGTAGAACACTGTTGCCTTCCGTCCCCTGCCTGAGACCATTTTGTTGAGAATTAAATCCTTATCCTCCTGTGAGGAATGATTTTTTGTCTAGGCAACACGTCCGTGGGCAGGGTGGGTATGGCTATGCATAGTGACTGGGAACCGAACAATGGGAAGTGCTGACTTGCTGGTGAGAGAGGAGCCTCCAAAATTGTTAAGTGAGGAAGCAAAATAGAGACAGACTCGTAGATCGGGAGCAGGCTGACAGCTGTTGGGAAGGGGGATGGGGAGTGGAGGGATCGAGCCAAAAGGAAAAGGACTCATGGGCATGAACAATCATGTGGTGGTCATGGGGGGGACGGGGTGGAGGTGGGGGAGGGTATAAGGGGCATAAACAGTGATGGGAAAAGTACAACAAAAAGTTGTTAAGGGAGGACACTATTTCTTTTCCACCTTGTGTGTTTGAAAGGTATTACTGTCCCTGAGAATTCATTTGTCCTCTTGTGCCGCAGGGGTACATGTGTTTGTATGTGTGTGTGTTTAACTTCCTTCTGAACAATAGAATCTAAAAGGACGTCTGCCCATCACACGGCAGGGGAGATGCCAACCTTGACAGTTCCGAATGCCACGTCCACCAGCCCCTACCACAGGGCTGCCGGCCTCGTGGGGACGGGCATTGTGTGGTGGTTCCGGGTCTGCCCCAAACTCACCCAAATGTGACTCCAGAGGCCCTAGGTCTGTCCCACTCGGGGGCCACGGAGGGGTCGTTCTATATCAGTGAGCATTACTCTTGATGCCAGTGACGCCCCGGTGATTTGGAAATGGGTGGTTAAAGAAATGAGCACAAATGACTCACATTCTCCAGGACCTTCCACAACAAAATCCAATGCTAATTACAACAGAAAAAAAAAGTGTTTTATTCCAGGGATGATAATCACACTTGAACACATTAACAGACGTGTGCTAATACTTAAATTAGAAGAGTTCTTTGATGAGACAATCACATGCAAGCTAAGATACAAGGCACCAGCATTCAAAAATTTGAAAATGCCAATTTTCTTGTTAATGTTTGATATTTCTCTTAGTGGCACAAGCCCAGTGAGGGGGGTACAAGTGTTTCTCCCACTCTCAGAGAATACCTCGAACTCAGGAAACACACAGGAGAAATCTTTTGTGCTAAAAGCAGTCTTAACACCTAATTATAGTTAATGAGGTTACTCTATTATACAAACATTCATGAGGACATTACAGACTTTTTAGAGATGTTTCAGTAAAACAGGCACATTTAAAAGTCTCTAGCTATACAGGGGACATTTTAACAAACATGATACAGCTTTATATCTGTTTTTGAAAAATCTAAACAAATGCTTTGTTTTCAATGAAATCTTAGTGACGTTGGCATTATATAGAATGATGGTTGATTTCACATGGGTCTCTGGAAGTCAGCCAAGAACTAAAAGGAAGGAAAATAGGCCCCTGGGTTATTAAAATAGTGGTCACGTTATTTGATCAAAATTCAGTAAGTTTTAAAAACTCATCAAAATATTTTCTTCTACTTTACACAGACTTGTACATATCTTGATGAGCCTTTTTCTAAATTCATAATAGACTCAAGTCTGGTCTAAAATTATAAGGGGACATAAAATGTTTGTGTTCTGTTTTATATTGCACTCGAGTACAGTTAAAGCAGAAGAGAAAAAAATGAAGTATTAACCTGTGCAAGGGACACTATTTTAGGAATATCTTCTCTGATCCAACACCCCCTTACCAAATCAGTGTGTGCTAAAAACCCTTGCTTTGTGTAAGAATTAAAAACGCCACTATCAATGTCTACACAGAGGGCACATTTTTAAGTTCTCTAAGTTTGCCAAGTGGCACCCCACAGCTAAAGGAATAATTAATCTCCCGTTCCCTACAGCCTGGGACTGCCCTGCTCCCAGGGTCTGGCCGGGGCCTCTTTATCGAGTGGATAGAAAGTGCACTTGCTCCAGTCCTGGTACCACCAGCTGTTGCCAATTTCTGAAATGGAAGAAGGCTGCAGAGATATGGACAATGGCACTGAGAGAGACCCAGAGAGGCCACCCTTGAGAAAGAGGCAGTCTTAAAATAGCCTCAGTGGGTGCGTGATGTTCTCCACACCTCCGGGTGAGAGAGGGCGGGGGCATAACCATCAGTCCTGCCCGTTCCTGGACCAGGTCCACTTAAGGTGGAGAAGAGACTCGTGAGGTCTTTGCAAGGAGGGCACGATTTGTCTTTTCTCTATGATTGAACATTCTAATGGCAGTGCACATGCAGCCCTGTGGATTTCCTGAATGAGCGGTCTTCCTTTCAAAAGGGGTATTAGCTGCTCTTTTCAAAACCATCTGCATATTTTGTATTAATACCCAAAATACAGAGAATCAATGACAATGACCAACATTAAAAGGTTAATACATTATTTGAAGAATATAGACCTTTTAAAATGCAATATGTGAATCATTTTGGTTAGAGTTCACATTTTTCCTTTTTGTTCTAAAAACATAAAATAGAGAACTCTTTTTTTTTTTAAATTAACAAATGTGTATATGGGAAAAACATACCGATATTTTTAACATACTATGTCCAAATACAGTAACGATGCCTACAACAATGGTACCCACCGGCACACTTACGCTTAAAATGGATAGCTCACTTCTTCCCTGGGTGTTGTCACACTCTGACCCTATCTTGAGCATATTTTAACATGAAATACACGCGATGCCGATGACATAGAAGCCTCTGCTGTTCTGGGTGTTGGGAATCTGCCGCTTTATCGGTACTGCAGGAAGTTCTGCAGCAGCGTGGGAAGCTGGAGCTGGGGGATGAGGTGCAGGCGCGGCCTCCCGATGTAGTTGCGGATGCAGAGCCGGCAGAGCTGGCTCAGGGAGCTCGGGGTCGCTACACAGACAAGAAAGTGTGTTGATTAACATCAAAAAGTGAGGTTTGAGATGTCGCAAGATCCACTGCATATGAGCAGAGAATAAGTACAGGGCCTTGTAGCCAAGTGGGGCAGTACAAGGGAGATTCATACACGCCTTCATACTGCCTTTGTAAGAAGAGCTCATTAGAATTGAGACCGCATATTCCATACATGTTCTTTAAAACACAGTCTGCAGGCTTAGGAAATGAAGGCTGCATTCAAATCCTCAGAAACGGATTCTATTTTTTGAAGGTGATATAAATCAAAGAAGTGCATTGCACTACAGAAGGGAATTCTTAAACTTTTTTCTCAAATTAGATTTACTATTTAAGCCAAAGCTAATTTTATTATTGTGTTTAGATCAGACTTAAGAAACCCTGTTTTAGAACAAAAGTCGCAAGTGTGGAAATATTTCCCAATTATGTTTCTACAACACGTGATGGAAGGTGCCCGCCCCTATAAAAGAGGGTGTATCTGTAAATATTTGTCTGCAGATACTAAACAGAACCACATACTATGCATTGCCAAACACTGAACGTATTTAACTTAACCAAAGAAATATAAAGCTTAGGTAAGTTAGAAAAAAAAAATGAAGATCAATGTGATTATCTTGTTCATTTCCCCAAAAATATCCCAAATCTTATGCCACTATTATTTTGCATGTCAGCAAAAAGGTCTTCAAGTCGCAGGCCAACATTTCTGTGGCTTCGATGCTCGCCTGGGTCCTTCTTACCTTCACGCTGAAGCAGTAGCCTTTCCACCAGACTGCTGGACGTGGCCACATCGACAGGCCGCAGAAGTTCTGTGTTCTTGGCATTGATATCGGCTCCAAATTCTAGCAGCAAGTTGACAATTTCTGTGCTGGACTGCTGAGCGGCGGCGTGGAGTGGTGTATCCCAGTATTTACCTTTCTGCACATCAGCGCCTACGTGGCAATCAGAATGGAGATGGATACAAACAGAAATTGTTTTTAGAGCCACCTAAGCACAGGTGGCAGAAAGGGGCCCTTTGCCCCTCTGTCAGGAGCGCTTTGTACATACATATATTGTACATGCGTATTACCTTAAAACTTGGTACATCTGGATGGAAATGCACATATTTGCTATATTTTCTAATATCTTCTGTATCCTGAAAATATCTATTAATAAAAAATTTAAGTTTAAACAGTTCCAAAATTAATCATATTACTATATGTATTATAAACAGTGTGCAATTAAGTTGACTCATCTGTGTTCACTGTGATTGACAGCTCTTAGGGATTATTCAAGAGCATATTGCTTTTCTTCTTTCCATTTATTTTAAGAGAGCTCTTTTGTTTCCTGGACAACCCATGATTCTACTTATGTGGGCTCTTTAGGTGAAATGTGTATAGATTTTCTGTCACTCCTCACTCACATGGTTTAAGTCGATAAATACACAAAGGCACTGAGTTTCTTGACTGGAAAGGCACATTATATTTCTGCATGCAAAGTAAAAGTTTTAAAAATGCTTACATCGAAAAATACCTCACATGTGAAATCACTTATTGCATAGCTTTTCACCTTAGCGCAAGCCCTAGTACACAGTGGTCACTGAATGCATGTGTGAGGAATAAATGCTGTTTAAATTGGGAAAGATAACAATCCCATTTTCCAGTGCATAATGGTTGCAACACCAAGAAATGTCTATCAATAAAAATGCACCAGTCCTTTCCAACTCTATTTTCTGGTATGTTCTGTCAAACCAACAATTGTCCAAAGCAGCACCTTCTAAGAGTCCCTTTATGACCCTCCTGTCACTTTCAGGTTTCAATAAATGTAATTGCTTTGGATATTGTTAACCTAATGTAAAATGTTTAGTGGAAAAATTACAGTGTATACCATAACCTCCAGAGAGAAAGCGTATGCTCTGTTGGCTGTATCAGTTTTCTGAGAGAACAGAGCCTGAGAATAACCATCCATCCACAATAACTAAATACTTTTCTATCTTTTTTTTTTTACCCATTGTGAAATATTTGACAGAAAGGAAATATTTCAAGCCAACTGTAGAAAGGTGGTAAACAACAAACTCTTCTGGTTACATAAATTGATGGGAGAACTAGGAAGGGAATGACAATCTGTTGACAATGAGCAGAACTCACCTTGAGGAGTCTTACTAGCAATGGGAGTGAAACACGGGGTGCCAGACATTTACAACCGAGCTAAGTAAGACACTTGGAGTAACAGAAAGAGGTTGCTAAAGATATGTCAGGGTGTATCAGGTGCCAAATGATTGTCGTAAACAATGAGATGCAGAGACACCATCTACTCATGTTGAGTCTATTCTAAGCACCCACTGCAGCGGAGGCACTGTGCTAGAGGAAGGAGATGGCAGGGAAAGAGGGAATCTGTAACCCAGAGAAGACCCCAGCCCTAGACTGGGACGACCGCCCTGGTCTCAAAGGCCAGGAGAAGTGTCTCAGGGGCTAAAGCTGAACCTTGAGGAACTGGTTTGTTTCTAGGGAGCGGGCGAGGACTGTCCACTTCTGTGGGTAAAGTGGGACAGAGTTTATGGTCTGGGAATGTGCGGGAGTTGAGTTTGGTGGGGGATAAGGCTACTGAGGCAGTTACTATGCCTAACATTTCTTCTGATGGTTTTCTGCACAGATATGTACCTATTTGGCAACATTATATTCCACCTGGAAGATCGGGAGGTTATGATCTCTGTAAGTAGGGGTTTTAGAGCTTTGAGGTGAAGTGGGGTTCATCCAGAATGGCCTTCTTTTTATTGGTTATATACTTATGTGTGAGGATGCTTAGCATAAGAACATTTTTAGCATGGAGATATAATTTTTAATGAGGCTGGCGCAGAGAAATAAGTGGAGAGCTGAGTAACTGCTTGTGGGTATGGATGGGACGCAAGAGGCTTTCAAGATAATTACCAGCATAGAGAAGCTTCCGGATGCAGTGGGACTGCTGCGACATGCAGGCTGTGTACAGCGGCGTCCCCAAGTGAGGAATGTCCTGGTCGACATCTATGCCCCATGAGATCAGGATCTCCAGACACTCGTGGTGACCTGCACACACAAATCCAAGTTGGTTCCCCTTTCCTTCATGCCCACCCCGCCACGGGGCTCCCCCAGCTGCACGTGGAACCTCTGCCCCCGTCCCCAGGCCCCACGGCTGTCACCTTTGCTGGCTGCCTCATGTGTGGGAGAAGGAAGACAGGACTCGAGCTGGGGTTTGGCGCCGTATTCCAGCAGGAGCGCCGTGCAGCTCCCACTGCCCTGTGAGCAGGCGTTGAATAAGGGGGTCACGCCGTCGATGGTGATCGCGTTGACCTGAACCAACCGACACGGGAGCGTGAGAGTCGGAGAACCACACGGATTCACTGCAGGGCATTTTTACAGGTGGGGTGGTCTGCTCACAGGACTAATCGGGGAAACACACGCCGTGAATAGGACAAGGTGTATTTAGCTCAGACACATGGACATGGACAGCTAGGAAACTTCAAGAAGTAGAAAGTTCATGGGAGTGAGTGTGCAATGAGTAGGGGTCACGAACCAATACCCACTCAAGGATCAAAACCCAAAACCCGATTCCACGATCAGGTACCTTTCAGTTGGGAAACAAGGCACCCAGCGAGACAGTGGTGACAGTTGTGAGGAAGTCACTTTGCTGGTGGCAGTTTAAACTGGACATTCTATTTCTGAGAACTTCAGAAAGAAAATTTCTAAGGAATTCTATTTCTAAGGAAATAGAATCTAAGGAAAACTGTCCAGAAGGTGAGCAAGCGTCACAGGCGTAAAGATGTGCACTCATTGTTATTTGGAATCGTGAGAGCAGGAAGCAGCCCAAAACTGTTCCGCATTATGATCGGAAATCCTTCTTTGAGTGCGGATGAGGGAGGGCTGGGGCAACGAGAGAGCTTTCTTCTCACTCCGCTGCCTTTGAAGACTACTGAGCAGGAGAAAGAGGCACAAGGAGAACTTGGCTTGATTCACTTACTCGGGAGACGTCACGTTTGGAATGGGGACTTACGTTAGCTCCTGCTTCCAGAAGGGTCCGGGCACATGCCACATGGTCACCCAGGCAGGCTTCGTGCAGTGGGGTGACATGGTCGATGGTCACTGCATTGACGTTATAACCCTGAACAGGACAGGAATAATTTTGAAGGGTGAGCAAAACGTTCTCTCAGGTCATCTCTACACTTGTCATTAAAGGGTGATACGAAAAATCAAGAAGCCTCGGGCACGTCAGGTGTAAGTTGAGGAGGACAGGCCAGTCCAATGCCAGAGCCAATCAGATGTCAAGAAGTCTGAGCCGCATAACTGTAGTTACACCATCCTATGCAAGCCCAAAACCGCTTTAAGTATTCTGTTCAATGGATTCTGAAAGTATTGTTTAAACTTTGCTTACTCACCCATTTTTTCTCTTTAGGGATTATTTGGGTTGCTAATATGTTTTTTTAAATTGTTTTGTTTTGTAGAACTAAAGACTATTTAGAGCCATGGCTGGTGTGGCTCAGTGGACTGAGTGCTGGCATGTGAATCAAAGTGTCACCAGTCCGATTCCCAGTCAGGGCACATGCCTGGGTTGCAGGCCAGGTCCCCAGTAGGGGGCGCAGGAGAGGCAACCACACATTGATGTTTCTCTCCCTCTCGCTCTCCCTTCCCCTCTGTCTAAAAGTAAATAAATAAATACATGTTTTTAAAGACTATTTAGAGTCTGGGTTGCTCACTTTGACTGAGGCTGTAAAAGTCCCCGTCAGCCCACACTGGAGGAAAAACTCCCTGAACTGTACTAACCTGCCTTGTGGACTTTTGTCAGAAGGTGGGTCTGACGAGGTTCCGTGCAGGCAGGTGGTTCAGAGCTTGACTAGCGGTCACACTTGGGTTGGAAGCCTTCCTCCGTAAGACACTAATTATTTTAATTGGATGAGCACATTAATCTCTAAATTTTAGCGTTATCATGACTGAATGAGATGATGCATAAAAAACCAATTACTGTTACTGTGACCGGCGTACAGCAAATGGGTGATGTTATTATTCAATGGAAACTGAATGCTTTTAGGGTTTTTGTTCCAATTAAACTAACGATATCGGACTAAAGTAATCAAATATTATTAGGATCTTAGATTCTTTGCCATCTTGCTATTTTTTGGCAGGTCATGGCTGGTTATAAACACTATAATAAATGAAGATGCTCAGGGCCAAATCCCGGTAACATATCAGAGATTACCATGATCTCCAGCACTTGATGGATGTGAGGGATCTTCAAGTGAAGGAGAGAAAACAGCCACCCTAAATCTCTGCCACCAGCAAGTGGCAGTTTCTAAGAGCCCTGAAATTAACCTTCCAAAGGTTCTGAAGGGGCCTGCCTGTAGTCAGACCTGGAGAACGAATTCCAGAATGGCCAGATGACAGAAGCATCTGGAACATCGGGACTCCCTCCCCCGTGGGGCTTTGAGGCAGCCCCTGACTCCTCCCCATGTGCCTGTCAGCGGATGTGAGATGCTTGTTATGAAACATCCTGGGACTTCTTGCCTCTCAAAGACCTGAACAGAGCTTTCAGGGGTTCCCTTGTAGACACTGATGATTTTGCAGGCTATTTTTTTTCTCCGTCAAGTGATGAGCAATAAAAAATGATCACATGGTTATCAGAGAAGTAGACGGCCTTACGGGGGCATCTCACTCTAAACCTTCCCTTCACAGATGAGACAAGACGCGCTCAGAGAGGTTGGGGTTCACCCCTAGTACCCACCAGCCTGGTCTGGAGGCCCCAGGGCGGTGCTCTACACCCCGGGCCACACTGCCCTTCCTCCCTCAGGACCATCGGGGAGAACCTTCACCCTGATCCTGGGACACACGAGGGCAGGGACTTTCTGACCCGGGCGTGCAGCTGGGAAGTTGCAAAAATGCACGGGCTGTGCCAGAGCACTTTTTGCTGAGTCTGATGAGCAGGCAGGTGTGGAGGCGACCGTTCTGTCACTCTCCCGGGCAGCCCCCCTGACAGGTTCCAGACCACCTGGTGTACAGAGGGTGGTCTGGGCGTCTGCCCTCATTGCCCGTCTGGATACCTTAGGCTGAGCTAAGTCTGCAACACGCTGAACACACTGAACAGAGCTAAGGATATTTAAAATGCTTAACAAATAATCCATGATTCCAATGATTTCCTGCTTAAATATGTCTATCAGTGAACAAATATACTGTATGCGAAATGTGAACTGCTAAGACATAAGAACATAATGTTTCACCTGTGATAACAATGTTCGCAAGGCGAGGAGACGACCTTGACTCGCTGCTTCGTGTAGTGGTGAGCGGTCTGCCCAGGAACCTGCCGGAAAAGAGAGGAAATAAGCATCTCTGAGCCCCAGTAAACCCTATGAAACAGGGTCAGTTCCTGGGGAGTAGATGCTAGTCAGCTTCATGTCCACAGGGGGACTGAGACATGTACACATCGGGAAATTGGATTCTTCTCCAAGGGATCCTAAGGGGCGGTCCCCAAATCCAGGGGCATTTGGGTCTGGAATTGACCTGCCCCAGACTCACCGCGCCCCAGACCCTGCAGAGAGTAAGGGGTGCGGTTAAGGTCTCTAGATATACCACCAGAACAAACAAAAACTTACCTCTGTCTCATGGTTTTCCAGGCCGACCTGCTCCCCCCAAAACACTTTTTGGCACCTTTAGCGCAGAAGGCGGCCAGAGCAGCCCCCGGCCCCACCGTCATTTCCCATGCGGGGGTGTGAGGGGCTGAGCCCCGCGGGTCCCAAAATGTGGAACCAGCCAGTGGGCCCTACATGGGGGTGTCACATGTCGGAGGAACGCACTGTCATCTTTGTCGGAAATGGTGCTGATGGCGCAGCTGGTGGCACCGAAGCCCATCTGCTCTGTGCCTTGGTTGGGGGTGGGAGGGAATACTGACTGGTCACGTGCCCAAGTCCCCCTCTTCTGACATGCCTTTTGTGACCCTCCCCTTAGAAAAGTGCCTGTCCCTGTTCCTTTTTCCCCAGTGGCACCCAGCCACCACCCAAAGGTACACCCTGCCCTCCTGTCTCTCCCCAGCGGGTGGTGCACTAGGTGTCTGTGTAGGTCACTGGATTGGTACACGGTGATTTTCTTGTAACTCAAACAGGGCCAGCATTGCTGGTTCCATTTAGTGGTCCTGAGAGAGCACGTCCCACGTTTTAAAGGGACTCCATACGCAGACTGCACAAACCAGGAGAGCGTTCATTTAAAGGCCATCGACGGCTGGTAAGTTCCTGCAGTGCTGGCTACAGAGAAAATCTTCCCAGGGTAATGGGACCACAGTTGCTAGAATCTGCCTCCTTGTCTACTGCCCCTTCCCTGCTTTTTGGATCCACAGGCGGCAATAAATAAAACTAATTTTTAAAAACTGCTAATCAACTCTAGGGCAGTGTAAATAAAGTCACCAAGTTGCTGTCAGACATGAAGTTCACGAAGAGCGTGTCTAAAGCCTGTTTAAATAGGTCAGGAAAATTACTGGAAGCAGTCGGTCACTGTCCTTTAGAAACGACCTCATCATTCCTGCAAAGCATACCTTGGGAAAAGTCCACGCATGCTTCTCTGCTTCTGTAATATGGTCTCACATTAGAACTTTCCCACACCATCAGGGACGGCCAAATAACGCGGCTGAATAAAATGTGGGGCCTGTACCACCAGGTTAATGAAATGACCAAGTGAACCTGGTGTGGAGGACAGGAGTCAGCCATCGCCAGTCTCTCTATAACCAATGACAGCCGGGGTTTTACTAAAAACACAGGGAGAGGGGAAGAGACTTTCTTCCACTTCCCGGTACTGATTCATGAGTAACAGTAATAACAGCTAATGCCAAATCATGTTCGCTGTGTGAATAAACTAGTCTAAGCACCGTGGACAATGTCTCATTTCCTTGTCACAACTCTTTAAAATATATACGATTATTAATTCTACCTTAGCTGGAGAGCTGAGAGCTGGAAGAAATAAAATCCTGCACAGGGCTGCATGTCTTACTCCGGAAAAGCATGTCTTACTCCGGAGCTGGCCTAGTTAACGGTGCTGCACTGCTTGCTTTCACACGTCCGTCCGGGATTCTTTTCTGCTCACCCCCCAAAATTAGTAAGGCACACACCCAATCCTTTGTGTTTTCAACCGAAAGAAGAGTTACTCTTATTAGCTTCTGTATGTTATTTCTTTATATTATGCAATGCTCCTGTGATATATTAGAAGCAGCCAATATCGCACTCCAATAAATGTTCAAAATTTGGTGGCAAAATAATAATCGATAAGAAATTGTAACATTATTCTCACTGCATGAAATGCAAACATCGCCATCGTAAATAATATTATTTTGGGGAACAAGTATGTTTAGAGTTTCAGCTTCTAAGATAAAATCCAATGCTTGACAAATCTCACACATCCATTTGTTTTATCATTAAACAACTTGATTGAGGAGTGAAACTCAGCAGACTTCACAAGTTGTATCAATTTTCACTGTGAATATTTAAACAAGATAATGATAATATTCACTTTCCCAACAAAGCGCATATGTGAAACCACTATGTTTGGTTTCATCAGCAGAGCAGTAGTAAAGCAATAAGGTTTCCAGAAATCAATGCTTAAATATGTTCAAATTTAAATGACGTTTTAATATTTATAATAATCATGTGTGCCAGCCTGCATAAAGACGTAATAAAGTTCACTACCCTTAACTTATCTCTACAAGCTGTTCTGCTGAATCAGACGAAGCCCATTGGTTAGCACTGTGTGTTCTTCCTTCCTCATTAGCTAACATGGCCATGAACCAGACGTGGGGACCAGGGAAAGCCTGGAGCACAGGTGGCAAACAGTAGGCCTGCAGGCCGAATCCGGTCCTCCACCTTGTTTCTACTGAACCGCAGTGCCAAGCTCCTTGCTCCTCATCAAGGAGCAGTTACATTTAGACAGTCCTAAAATTACATTCGGCCCTTTCAAAGCAACCACAAGGCTGATGTGGCCCCCAGTGAAAATGAGTTCGACACCCCTGGCCTAGAGAAATGGCCTTCGGATTCATCCTGGGTGCACGCCTTTCTAGAATGTTACGGAGACCTTTAAGCAACAGCAAAATTAACAATATTTGCACCTACGAGAAACTTGTCATTCTTCTCTTGCACACTAAAGTGTTCGTCCAACAGAATGATTGTATTACCCTCTGACTCATTTCAGCATTGCTTGCTGGTGTTCACAAAGAAGGAGGAAAAAACGGGGGGAATAAAAGATAAGGGCCACTAAGAAAACAGGCCACACGAGGACTAAAACAGAGGAACAAAGTCTTTGAATTTACCACCTATGTTTCAACACCCGGGGTCCCTCCCACACTGTGACACAGCTTTCTGTCCCCACTCTGTCATTATTCCTTTTTGTTACCAACACGAATCCATCAACGTAGCAGATAACAGAGCTAAAGCCAGAATCTATGCCCTGTAGATTGTGCAATTATTGTAAATAACTGTATTTGTTACTGTTTCTATTACTATGACTTCCATTGGCCTGAAAAGAGAGTTCAGTGTCACAGCAACTGCGGGAAAGGGTGGGTAGGTGGACAGGGACAAAACCAACGGAAATATACCATGTTGAGGGAGGGACCCCTTGGCTGGTCAGGCAGAGACTGGGGCTTAGAAGAAATAACTGCCCTGTTCTTTCAGGGCTGAGCCCAGCTCTGCTCACTGCGTGGGACCCCTGCGAGCTGTGATTATGGCGTCCAGCAGGGGGCAGGCGAGAGCAGGAGGAGAAAAGCAGATGGAGACCTGAGGGAGGGGAGAAAGCTGGTGGGCTCTAGCGCCCAGGAACCAAGGCCAGGCAGGCCTGGGCGGTGGCCTCCCCGCACCCTGCGAACATGGGAGCCTGTGACCTCATGAGACGGAGAAAGCACTCCAAGCGTGACAGCACTGAGCGGGATTAGGAAGGAGCTTCTAGGGCCTGCGGTTTAATCAATAATCCCTAGGATTCTGCTGAACCTAAACTGACAAATGAGGGCAATTTTAATAGGCGTTTTAGGGAGTAACCTTTTTTTTCCTCCAAAACCAAGGAAACTTGAGCCATAAATAACAGCGTCTATTGCCTGCGATGCTTTTCAGTGCTATCAACTTAAATAACTATGTGAAACAATTGCATGACTTATAAACGTAGTTAAGGCAACAGTCAACCACGGCTGCTGCATTTTCTTCCTATGTGAACTATCCTAAATAAAGACATGACAACTTATTAAAAGAGCAATTTATAGTACATGTCTGCTATTCAATTAAAAAAACATTTCTTTGTTTGAATTCTGCTTACTTAACTCCCCAGCAACCCCTCCTCATTTGCTTCCTGGTAAGTCCTTAGAAGAATCTCTGTAATTAATTCTGGAAAGAGGGGAGAATTAAAGGGTAGCCCCTCCTGTTCCAGTTTCTGCTTAGAACTCTATCTTCACCCCTCCCCACTTCTCCCCTTCAGAATCTGAAATTTCGAGACTGTACATTTCTAGTCAAGAGTGTTCAACCTCGAATATCTCAGCTTTCAGTTCAAGTATGCCTTACAGGACAAAGATCTGCAAGCTTCCTCAAGACCAAACGAGCTCTAACTATCTCCATCTACGACAATCCAGTCACCTTACAATCTCATTAGACTCTTATTCGGTGGCTATGATTTTTCTAAATGTTCAGTTGAACCCTTGAGGAAAAATTATTCAGTGTGAAGATCGTTTTCCAAAGGATCTGCTGCTTCCACCACTCCAGTCGAAGGCCTGCTCTTGTGGTCTCTCTGTCTCTACTCGGGAGGTGACTCCGAATATATTTAGAAACAACGCCAGCTCCCAGACATCTGGTATGTAATTTACAGGGAGAGAGCCTGCCTGATCTGTAAACATCCCACTGCTAGAGCAAACACAGTCGCAGATACACACGGTTTGGTGAGGGGCTGCACCGTACCCAGGTCGCCGTCTCCCCAGGGCACCTCTAGCCAGCCACTGTCCAGGTGAACTCGGCTCATGGCTCTTTTTTTTATCAGCATAAAAACATGACTTGTCCCTTGCCAGGTCTATTCGGCCATTTTAAGGAGCGCTGAGCTTCTTGTAACATGACCTTTCACCTTCAGGGGAAAAAAACAGCTTTTGAAAATCCGATTTATTTTCAAAATGGCCTTTCCTTGTTCTCACCACTCTTTGAGAAACTGCTGGTTCTAACTTAATTTTTTTCTCCTTCCAGGGTGTGCCCTGCGATGAAGTGAAAGTATTCCAATTGGATCTCTGCCCATGACTGTGATGGAGCAGTGAGTTTTTTTAGGAGCTCTTTGGCCTCTCCTGAGCCCCACCACAGAACT